AAATATAATCTGTTTATTTATTTTATTTAAATTAATAAATAATTAAAAATACTTTATTTATATAATAATTTATTTCTAAAATCAATCAAAATATATAAATTCTTTCTGTGTGCCATTTTGCGGCCGCCAAGCTATCCCAACCACCCCCGAAACCGCCTAACCACCGACTGAACCACCCACCACCTCTACCTCTATATCACCCCATCCCCATCAGGCAGCGTTGTGTCCTTCATCAGGATGCCAACAATATAAAGCCTATTTTCATTGTTTCCTCTCTGACACTTGAACAGCTGACAGGCGTCGACGTCAAAGTCATGTTGCTATTGTTGCTATTGTTGCTGTTGTTGTTGTTGTTGTTGTCGTTGCCTGGGCCGTTAATTAAATTAAGTAAAAGTAGCAAAGTATGTTCGTACATTATTTAGTATAGACCCCTCTTCTATTTTTGTTGTATTTTTTTCACCTTTTCTCCCTCTTCTGTGAACTGAACGACTTTATCAGCTAGCAAATGATATGGAAAGGTAAAGAGGGAAATATAGAAAGAAGGAAATACTATATATACATATATAGTAGAAAGAGAAATCGAGAAGGGGTGCAAAAAGCGAGGCAAGGTAGTACTAACTAAAAAAAAAAAACGTGTATATTTTTGCTGATTGTGAAACGAATGTGAGCGTGCAAATATTTATCTAGATAATATTTATAAACACAATTTTCAGATGTTACCGAGTTTGAGTATAAAAAAGTACACAGAATAAAAAATTTACATATTTATATACGTTATGTACCTGGGTTATTAATAAATTTAAGGCTGCCAAAAAACTTCGGTAATATATATATTTATATAGATGTATAAAATATATTTATTTTCATTTACTTTAGGTGTTTTAGTTAAAGTTTTAAATTAATCGAATAAAAATTATTGAAATAATCGAGATAAAAATATCAAAAATCAATCGAAATTAGAAAAATATAAAATTATCGAATTTATTTTGATTCATTAAAAAACATAAAAGATCAAATCAAGTCAGAAAAAATATTAAAATTCGAATTATCGAAACATATCGAAAAAATCTATTAAATAATAAATCAATTTAAAAAAAAAATTAAAATATATTTATTTGAAGATTACATTTAAAATGAATTTGATTTAATTTATAAATAAATAAAATCTTATAAAATCTCAGAAATTCCTAAAAAGAATTTAACAACAAGTACTTCTTCTGAACCTTTTAATTTAATTTCAAGAAAATGTAAATAAAATGTAATTAAAAGGGAAAAGGGAAAAACATTAGCTACCGGTCTCGAATTAAAGAAAAGTAATGTCATAATCTCTTGAATGTCTTGGGTTCTTTTTGTATATATATTTTTATTTCTTAAATGCAAGAAAATTTCCTTCTTCTTTATTTTAGGGGCTAAACAAAAAGCGATTTGCATTAAACGATTATTTTACTAGCAAAAGGAGAGACGGCTGTGGAGGCAGGCAAATCGATTAAAAGGCTTTTGCCTCTCGTGCACGTGACACGTCGACGGGCGGGTGGTTTTTCCAGAGGTCTAAAGGATGGGCGGTGGCCAGTAAAGTAAAGTGGGGGGTTTGGGTGGATTTGGGGTGATGTTGAGGTTGAGGGCCAAAAGCAAATGCGCCACATGGCAAAACGGGCATAATTGAGCCGTATAACAAGCCCAATGACCGATTAAGCCAACATGGCGAGTGACCCTCAAGTTGAGCCAAATGAGTTGAGTTTCGAGTTCACTACGGAATTGGTTTATGTTGGTTGAGGTGCAGTGCGGTCAGGGTTCTTGAAACCAAAAAACTTACAAGAGGAAAAGCGATTTGAGGGGAAAATTAGGTTGTCTCTTAAGCACTTGAATAATTTTGGCTACCGAAAAAAGAAATACGAATTTTAAGTACTTACATTTCCTAAAAAAAAAAAAAATTATAAAAAAAAAAAAACTAAAAGCTTTAAAAACACATTTGTTTCAAAAGAAATACTCACTAAACAATATCATTTAAAATATATTGTATAAAAAATCCTGCATTCTTTATGATAAAAATAAATAGAATTAAATTCTTTAGTCATCAGTTTTTTTAGTCATCCATTAACCTGTGTTATCTGTAATAAATGGATATCGCATCCATTAGAGTGCCAGTCCCTAAACTGCTCCTTCTCTTGCTCCTCCTCCTGTAATCTAACCTATCCATATCCATATTTCCACTTCTATTCCCTACCTCCATTTGCCATCCATTAACACATCTCCATATCCATATCCATAATCATTAATCGACCACGTTGCTCCTATTGATTTTTCGGTGGGGACTTGCCTTTTGAGGGGATTTCTTTTTTCTGGGAATAATTTTTTTCCAACGCCACTTGTGGTTTTATTTTTGTTTTTTACTTTTTGTTTTTTTATTATCTGTGTGGAACATTTTTTGGCTGCCAGAGTTTGTTCGAGTCTGCAGCTGGCATTGGAACACGTCAACGCATTTTTTCACGCTTATCAGATCGAGCCATATAGTGTACACCTACATATACTATATACAGCGACTTGGCACACATTTCTCCGCGGTAAATTTATATATATACCTGTGTACCTGTATCTACAATTTATCTGCCGGTCGGTGGGCTTATCTTATCTGCGGCAATTCGAGTGCGATGGCGACGACGAAGACGAAGACGACAACGACGACGACGGCGCTTTCAGCGGATGACGAACTTCAATTCAATTTCTTTTCAATTTCTTATTACAAACCACCAGCCCACCCACTACCCTTTTCCTGTCGGCTTTTCCCCCTCAGTATCCTGGTCTTTGCTGCACTTGAAGAAATAAAAGAACCTTTAAGAACATTATTAAAAATATAAAATAAGCCTAGTAATTGGTAAATATTTGGCCCAAGTCAATAAACGTCATAATAAGTAAGTTTGACTGCATGATTAGGGGATTTTTGTTATCGAAACAATGCAAATTTTTTTCGATAACTATTGAAATTAATTGCAAAATAAACTGTATGAAAATATCATTAATAGCCACTATATTTTAAAAGGAAATCTAAATAAATAAATAATTTCTATGATGGTAAAAAGTTCTTCCGCTCATTTTCAACATTATCGATAATTATCGATTAATAAACTGAACGCAACATAGGATTCTAACTAAACTTTAAAATATAAAAATATAAATCACTTCATTATAATTGGTATATATGCTTTTGAATTATTAATTAAGAAATGAATACAAATTATTGAAAATTTAAAAAATTCTTATATTAAACATTTTTAATTTCTTAAATATTTGCAGATGTGTAAGGCGTGAAAATACTTTCCGCATTTTCAGCTGAGCCAAAGCCAAAAAAAAAGTGGCCCCTCAATAGGGTGATGATGCTGTTTTCCTTTTTTTTTAAAGCTTTTTTTTCCTTTTTGGAAGCTTGGATAACTTTTCCAACTCAGTGGCAGCGGCACCTGGCGCTGTCGCTTGCTTGGTTTTTTTTTCACATTTCCATGAGAGGGGAAAAACTCCGCGGTAATGATGAGCGACGGTGTCGTGTTTTCATTAAGCTTCAGAAATTTAAATATGTTATAATAATAATGTTCCCTAATAATACGAGTGTGTGTGTGTGTCTGTCTTGCGAAAAAATCTCTGGGGAGACGAGGAAAAGCTGGTGGAGGAAAAGCGACGAGCGACGAGCGACGAGCTACGAGCGACTTCGTCTCTGTAGGGAAAATGGAGAGAAAAAGACAAGTGGCATAGACATTGTCTTAGTCCTTGCCTTTTGATCCTAATCACGGCCGCACACAGTCGGGGGCGAGATTTTTGGCATACTTCTTATAATTTCACCCACATTCGCGCGCAGCTAGCCTCCCCCTCTTTGGCAGCCACCCAAAAAATCCACCCACTTGCTGGCACCGCTTCTCCGCATCCTTTGCATTTGCGGCTTTGCTGGAAATGTTAATTTTCTGCTAATGGGAAAGGGAATGTGAGTGTGTGTTTGCCAGGAAAATTACTTTCTAAACAGAGCCTTAAATTGCTGTTGTGATTTTCCTTCCTCACACAAACATTTCTTTAATTTTTGTCACCTCTTTAATAGCGCTAGACGCTGTTTGCACAATACCATATTTAATTTGGTGTTTATTTTAATTTCGAACAGCAGGTGAATGTAATTAAATAGTATTTAATTGATAAGCGCCTGCATGAATATTAAATATTCTGTTATTAATCGATAAAGAAATTAAGGGGAGATGTATTTTTTTAAGGGAAATTAATGATAATTAATAAGTTCATTAAATATTTAAAGTATTGCCTTTATTTATTCTAAAAATTAGCTACATTTTTCACAAGACTTTCCTGTTTTTTGTAGCATTTCTCATTAATTTCAACGGGACTCAATGGGAATATATATATATATATATAATATACATAAAAACCACTGTCATACTTAAGCCACGAGCTTAAATGAGTTCCAAACAAAGTGTCAGGCCAAATCACTAGTGATCCCACTTCAATGTTTGTGACCCACAAAAGCGTTGACCCCAAAAAAAACATAAAAACAATCAAATTACCCAAATTACACCATGGACCCCTGTTCGCCTTAACCCATTAAGTAACTTTAGAAGTAAATACAATAAGAAATCATAAAAAAAGGTGAAAAATATAGTGATTAAGCACTAAACTATATTGTTTTGTCAGTGTTTTCTGTGTTGAAAAGGAAAGGAAAAGGAAATGTCATATTCTAAAGATTAAATATATCGAAAAAATTACTTCGAAATATCGCAAAGAAGAAAGGTATGCAAATAACAATTATATCGATATTATATCGACATTATATTCTAGAGTTATCGGTGAAATCGATATTATATCGAAATAATTATATTAATAAAAAAAACTGGTATAACTTCCGAACAAAAACCCTCCCTTTAAAAGTCCCTGTTTCCGCTAATTTTAGGAAAAATATGATATATCGATATTTTTCATAGATCAACAAAGTAAAAAATCATTTTGAATGCACTTACCAAGTGTAGAACGGTGTTGACCACCTCCCGGTTGGTCACCTGACCAACCTCGATGAGGCCGATAAGGACGGCGAACTTGAGATTGTCGGCGGTTGTCATTCTGACGATTTCGTCCGGCCGTTTGATCTCACTGTACGGCGGACGCATGATGTCCGCCATTTTGGAGCACAATTTGTTGTTCAGATTATTTTGTTGGGTTTCACGGTAATATATTTGTATTTTTTTAACGCGTTTTTAATACGCGTTTAATAGTTTTGTTTGGTAGTTTCGGTTTCGATTTAATTGTATTTTTTGTATGTTTTTTGTTTGGTTTTTTTTTTTGTTTATTTGGTTTTTAGTTTTGTTAATTTTTGTTTTACATAGATTGAGTTATAGAATTAATGGATGGAATGCACACGAAAATACACACACACAGATACACAAATATATATTACATTTACATATATAATAAATATATATATATATATATATATGAAGATGGTAATGCTATATATATATATAAACAATTAGATATTGCCAGGCAATTGGAGGGGAGGAAAAAATTAGTTGACTTTTTGCTTATTTTGACTTTCTATATATATTTTTTTTTAGATTAATTTTTTCTTTGTAATTAAATTTGCATTTTTTTTTTTTAATTTGGCTGGATTTTTGTATGTCGTATTTTGATTTATTTTTATTAATTTTTTGTTTAAATTTTATTTTATATGCACTTTTCCAATTTGTCGCAGTTGTTTTTGTTGCTGCTGTTGTTGTAGTTGTTGTGGAGCAGCTTTTTCGCCGTCGTCGTTGTTGTTATTGTGGTTGCTGCCGCTGCTACTGGTGCTGCTGCGTTTTTTGCTCATATTGAACAACATTTGCCGCCGACACTTGTTATCAAATTTTGCATTATTTAATACTTTTGTTATGTGTATATATATATTTTTTAATTGCACACTGTGTTGTCAATTTTCGGGTTTCAAAATTTACGGTTTGTATTTTTTCATTTTTTTTTTATTTTTTAGGTTTATGGTGGTTTTTGGTGTGGTTTGGTGATGGTTGGTGGTGGTGACATACATAAAAAAGGAGAGAAAGAGAAATATATAGGTACATGAGTACGAATGCAATAATTTGTCGGCAATTTTTGTTCAGTTACAGTGCGTTTCATGGACGTAGGTCAGGTATAATGATTGATTTTTTGATAAGTTTTTTACAATCTGTTTGTTCAATTAGTTTAATAGTTTTTTTAATATTCGATAGCTTTTTTTAGAAGTATTGAGCTATTTTTTGACAGTATTCGATCAATATTTTAATATATTTTTTATAATTCTTGTATAATTTTTGTTAAATTAATTTCTTGCCAGAGAAACTTATTTATTTTTAGTTATTCTGATAGTTTATTTAATTTTTCGATAACTTTTAAATTGATTTAAGATCAACTTAATGATCAAACGATTTATCCCATAATTATTCTGATATGAATATAACAATATATTTATTGATTGATTTTAAAATTTATTTTAAGACTCAGCACAAATTCATATAGACACCATTTCCTACAAGCTAACGAAACGCACTGTACTTTTTGGGGTTTTCCAAAATTAAAATGAATACATAAACAATTAAATTAGATTCGTATTTTACATATAATCCAGCTACAAAGCAAAATTTCTAAATATTCGTTTGATCTGCCATGGGTTAAGTTCGGGGCAAGGGGATTGGTTTTTGGGGGGGCCCAGTGGTTTTCCAGGAGTCTCGACCAAAGGGAGGGGGGGAATGATGGTAAATGGTAAATAGGGAGTGGAAATTGGGGGGAAGAGCAGTGGACAGAGGGAGCAGCAGGGAGAGGGTAGTGCGGCATACACGTGCTTGATGGAGCAAATTTTCGTTCCATTATTCATTCGCTCCTTGGCTGCTCACAGAGGAAAGTGGAAAATTGTCGGGGGAATTTATGTGCATTTATAATTTTCGCTTTATTTATTACTTTATTTTTTTGTGTATATATTTTTTTTTTGCCCTGGTTTCAAGTATGCATCTTCTGAAACGAACTGAGACTTGCATTATCTAGGCCCAGATTTAACCTTCATTTGGTTGACCATTTTCATTAGCTGCCTAACATATTATTTCAGACACAATGTAATATATCAACTATAGTTTTCTCGGTTCGTCACGCACCGGCGATAAGACCCGGCCGGCTTGTGGTTGGGGGAGGGGGGCATTAACCCCAAAGAGTTGGCACTGGAATGGAAAAACCATGGGAAAACTGTCGGGGCAACTCTAAACACTGGGCAAACACAACCCAACACCACTGAATGCGGCTATTATATACGCATACAGACAGACCTACTATATAGAATATAGAATGCTGACACACCTGAAGAAGGTGCGCTGCTTCTGATTCAGCCATTGATGGTGATATTATTATTGTTGGTTGTAAAAGAAACCCAGCTGGGTTTAAGGAACTCTTTGACGTTACTTTGACTCCATATTTGTAAGATATTTGGTTTTTAACTATATCTTTGTGCCTTGGAATTACTACTGATGAAGAAAACAGCTGTGCTAAGTTGTAACCAAGCTTTGTCACTTATCTGTGCTAGAAAATCATAACATTAAAAAAATTATAAATTGTTTGAATTAATTACAAATATTTTACAAATTTATTATTTTTACTTGGCAAAGGGAAGTACCATCAAATAATTTTAGAGCGTCTTGTCTTAATTTTTTTTTATTTTTGAATTATTTTTTAATTGTAGAAAAAATGTCTTAATTTTTGGACGAACTAGTTTTTAAAATTTTGTAAAAATTATTTATCCAAAATTGTTAAATATTTAATTAAAAAAAATGATCCACAATATTAGAATTGTTTTTATTATTCATTTAAAGCCAATTAACAAATAATTTGTGCCTAGGAAAGGTTGGGGTAAAGGGTTTTTCAATTTTTTAAATTCGTCGGTGGCTTACAAAAATGCAGTTTGACATTCTTCTACAATTACAGGCTCTGTACTACATTATATGTATATTGCTACTGACAGTACGAACAACGAAAAAATGCGTTTTAAAACAACAACAACTTAAAGATTCAAGTAAAACCGGCGTGGCAAAAAAATAAAATAAATAAAAATTCCGCGACACTGACGTCGACAGAAGCAGAGCGATTGCTTCATTTTCCAATTAATGTTACTCTCTTTTTTTTTGCGTTTACCTAGGCCAGGTAACTCTCTTCTTATCTGTTAATTTTGTACCAATACCAATTTCGATTTTGGCTACACGGATTTTCGAGCCACTTTGCTAATTGCACGTCAACAGAAATTCCAATTCGAAGAGCGAAGCGGCGAGTCTCATTGCGTTCAGAGTTGCCTTTGCTTTTGCCCTGCCTTTGTGTTGCCTTTTGGCTCTGAGCTGCTGCTACCACTTTTTGTTGCTGTCTGTTGCCAGACGGACGGAGAGAGCGAAAGCGGGCTGGAGAGAGAGGAAGTGGGAGAGAGCGAGTTCTACGCTCAGTTGGTAATTTCGTTACGAAATAAAGATGCAATGCCAGTTTGAAAAAAAGTCACGCGTTCGATCAAAAGAAAGATCAGTTGTTGCCACCTGGGCCCTTTTTTTTTGTGTTGAGCTGACAAAAAATTTATATATTTACGATCGTTAATAATAAGTCAACAACTAATTTGTTAACTTATGTAATTGAGGGTAAAAAAAAACTTTTGTATTTGCATTTTTATATATTTACGAAACTTCTTATGTAAATGTTTTCATAAATAAAAACTTTTTAATAATTTTTACTAAATTACTTCATTATAACTTTAATTAAAATATTATTCAAAATAGATATTAGTTCATTTTTTGAGTTTTACTATTATTAAAAGAAATTATAATAGAACCTCAAAAAATGTATTGATTAAATGTTATCTCGGTCTTAAAAATATATATTTGTATTATTCTTATCCCAATAAGAGAAGTAAATTCAGCACAAAAGTCATAATTAATCGATCACATTTATATACTCTGTATATCTTCTATTTTTAATAATAATTAATTAATAATTCAATTTTAATAAAAATAATTTAAAAAAAAATCCTATGTGTATAGATTTTTTATGTGAATATAAAGCATAACAAGCCAAGAAAATTGTTTAAAAATTCAATAAATTATGGATAATTTGTTTATACATTTTTGTAAATTTACAGAACACTATTAACTTTTTTATTTAACTTATTAATTTAAATTATTTATGGTAAATATTTTGTATTTTTTTAGCCACGTGAGTAGAGAATTTAGACTTTCGGCTTGGCCAACACCGTATTTTGGCCCACGTTCTCGTATTGTTTTTGTTGTTATTGCTGGCATTGCCTTTATTTTTTTGGCTTTACGTTTTTTTAGCCAGCTTTTATTTTTATTTTTCTGCTGCTGGAGAGCGAGAGAGAAGGACAAAAGAGAAGGAGAGAGAGCGAGTGAGTGGGGGACAGAATTCGGTGGTTGTTACGGCAAAGAGAACGGGGGATATTGTTGGGAGGGGGGTGGTAACTCGTTTCGGCCCGTTGTTTTTGTATTTCATTTGTATTTGTGTTGTTGCAATTGCAGCAGTCGGCCATCTAATTATGAATTGCAGTCACGACGAGACAAGTTTTTTCCCCACTCTTTTGGCGCTCTCTTGCCCACACACACTCTGGCACTCTTCCTCTCTCTCTCTCTCTCTCTGCGGCTCACCTTTGCCAGTGGGAAAAATCAATGAAAGTCGGCTCTCTCTCTGTCTCTAATATGCTCTCTCTCAATGGCCGCGCTTCCTTACCCCAAAAAAAAAAACAAGAGGAAAAAAAAACGGACACACGTCGTCAGTTTGTTAACTTATTAGGTTCTACTACCACTCACACACACATACAAAGCACATGCACAAACGCACAAGCCAACTGCTCTCTCTCTCTCTCTCTCACTTTGCGCTCTCCCACTCGCAACGTTGCGGCTTTTTCTGCTTCTTACTCTTGCTACGTTATTTTTTTATCGTATTATTTTGCACCGCTTTGTTTCCAATAAGCAAACACAGCCGACACCGAAATGCTAATTGGCCCAACTAAACACTTGTCTAAAAGGAACTCACAAATAAAAACATAAAAAAAAACAAGAAGCTCCAGAAGGAGCAATTCCAAAATAAAAGACAACAAAACAAACGTAACGTAAAAGAGAGCGAATATAACTATATATTTACGTTGTTGTTTTTGCTTTTTCGTTTCTTTTTTTTGTTGTTGTTAGCACGCTTCTCTTTGTTGTTGTTTTGGTTAATTTAACTATTTAACTCTGGTCACTGCTGCCGCTGTTGTTGCTGCTGCTGTTGTGATTTTGAAGTTGTTATTATTTTACACAGGAAAAAAAATTAAATAAAAAAAAAACCAAGAGAGAACGCGGCGAATAGCGGTTAAAGGAGGGCAGAATTTGTTTGATTCATAAACTAATAAGCAACGTTCACGTAACAACAAAACACAACCATTGGACGTTAACGTTTCAGTTACGCTTGCCGAGTTGTGTCCTTTATTTATTTTGCATTTGTTGTTAGAACGGATTTTTTAGCAATTTACGTTTTAGCGTGTGTGTGTGATCAGCTTCTTCTTCCACTCTTGGTTGTTGTTGCTTTTGCTTTTTTTTTGCCGCGCTTAAAACTGTACAAAACGGTAGTTGCTGGTTGATACAAAGGCAAAACGGCAAAAGGCGACTTATCCGTCACTTCAGCAACGACTTTTCCGTTTTCCGCGGCACACACCGTCGCGTTCAAATTGTTTTTCACTTTTCACTAACGCCGCGGAGCTCCGACACGTCCACTTCGAAAAAAAAAAATTTTTTTTTGTTTGGAATGGCACACGTATTTATAGGCTTCGCTCTCACGCAAGAGAGAGAGAGAGTGTGGGAGAGCGCACCACGTAGGGGCAGGTGAACTTTGGAGAATGAGAGTAACAGAATGAGAGTACAGAATGAGAGTAACAGAACGTAAGCTCTTGGAGTTGCCGCTCGCTGGAAGGTCGGTGGGTTGAAAGGTCACCTTAACAGACTGCTAATTTTTCGCCATGTAAACACGAATTTTACAATGTAGAAACGAGATCGGGTGCAAGGAGCCAGCGGGTGGCTAAGAATTTAGGGATATTATTAATTGAAGAAAATATACAGGAAAATGTTTATTAATTTCAAATAAATGCTTGTTAATTTTATTTGCTTTCAAGCTTTTTTGTTCATTTTTTCAAAAACGCTACTGTGGCTACTGCGCCCCCTACATGGTAACATTCTGACTCAGGTCAACAGTTTTTTCTTAACAGTTAACAGACTGTTGGCACCTTTGTCCTCGCAGAGAGACTTTTTGATTTCTCAGGAATTTGTGCTCTCTGTTTGCTTATTAGCTCTCTCTCTCTCTCTCTCTCTCCTTTGACTCACAACCGGGGAGCAGGTTGAATTTCAGGAACAGAAAAACAAAAGAAAAGGTTTTTAAAACTTGACCGTTTCTTTCGTTAAATGAAATTGATTTTGACTTTTTAAATTATTATTTAACAATTGAAAGAACAATTTCTAAAGATTCCTGCTTTTAAGCCATTTAAAATTTTAATTAAATAAAAATACATTATTAAATCACAAAATTTTTAAATGTTTGCGAAATTTAGAATGGGCTGCTGCTAGAGGTCCACTACCAGAGAATTCAGGACTTAATAAGTTGGAGAGAGCTCTCACTCTCTCCCTCTTTCTCACAGCCGCTCTTTTTCCTGGCTTTCCAAGCTAACCAGCTGTGCTGGTTGCAAGGGAAATTTTTGGTTGGCGCCTGTATGCCAGTTATTTAAAATTAAACTTTTCGAAATGAAAGAAAGAATTCAAGTAACTTTAATTTTCTAATAAAGAGAAAACAATATGATTTAAGGAAATAAAGACAAAGTAATAATAAAATAATTACTACTCGATTTAAAATTTAATAATTTGTTGAAGGAAAAACAATCCATTTTGGGATGTTTGCTTCATTGCTGATTAAAACAAAACAAAAATAATATTAATTAATTATTAAGTTTTCTAATTTTTCTAATCTTGACAAATTAATCACTAAAGTTAGGGTATTTTTCCTTATGAAATTTAAAGAATAAATGTATATAAGAAAATATTTTCAAAAACGTGATATAATAAAAAAAATCGTTCCAAAATGAAACATTTTATAAGGAAAATAAAGGAAAACAAATATATTGAAAATATTTTCTTTATTTTAAATGCAATTTTTCATTTATTTTCTTAACGCCCTTCAGCGGAAATTGGCAAAACCAACGAATAATTATTGTCACATTTGTAGTTAACAGAAAATGTCATAGGTGGCGTAGCAGTCAAAACAAACAGCTCCAGAAACTTGCAATCCACAAATGTGGATCGCATAACAGGATCTACATCCTGTGGAAGAAAAAAAGCCCCGAGATGAAAGCAGAGTAAAAATAACTGTACATAAAGGATGCAGAAAACAAAATGAAAAAAAAAAAAAAAGAATGCGAACGCTGACAATTTTCACTCACTATGTTGGTTGCAGCGGAAAGTCCGTCGAAATTTCCTCTTTAAATTATCACCCGCACGTTTAACCGGTTCCGATCCCTCCGGAGGGCTCCGCGACGTTTTCTCGATTTTCCGCATTTTTTCGATCCTTTTTGCCCATTTTCCAACTTCTCCGATCAAAGAAGAAGAGGGCGAAAGCAAAAGGGAAACACTTTGTAACACTCGCACTTGCACAGAAAATAAAAACAAAAAAGAAAGGCTCTACGCAGCCTGGGCTTGAATTTTCCGATTTTCCGAACCAGCACGGGCTGGTTTTTCACGCAGGGACGATGCTTTCCCGTTTTTCCGCACTCTTGGGATCATTTTTGCCCGCTTTTATACCGTTTTCGTACGTGCGCCGAACGCCGCCATTTTACTTTGCACTTGCAGTTGCACATAAAAAAAAACTTTAAAAAACCAACGCTTCTACGCAGCCCGTGCGTAGATTTTCCCGATTTTCCTTCGGATTTTCATTTTTCACGGCGGTGCAATGTTTATCCGCATGTTTTCCGCACTTTTCCGAGTGCTTTTTCCGCGTTTTTAGCCCGTTTTCAGAGGAGCGCACGCGTTTCTCAACCGAACACTTTGTGAGCCGAGGACGAAAAGAAAAGGGAATTGCGAAAACGTGAAGTTGGCAAAACAGAAGCTAGGAGCGGTACAGTCTCTTCAAGCTTTTACTCTCCCGCTCTCTGCAGCAACGATCCGTTTTCGGAGGTCCTCGCTTTATCTTCACGTGCGCTTTCATCCCGTCTTCGTGCGTGCGCTTCTGACAGAAGACGGCCATTTTAGTTGCACTTGCAGTTGCACATAAAAAAAACGATTTAAAAAAAAACAACGCTTCTACGCCGTCCGGGCATAGATTTTCCAGTTTTCGACTGGATTTTCGTTTTCCACGTCGCGTCAATGATTTTCCGCACTTTTCCAAACGTTTTTACCACGATTTTACCCCTTTTTCATGGAGCTTTCGTAGAGCGCGCGTTTTTCCAGTCGTACAGTTTTTTACCGAAAAATGAAATGAAAGGATAATGACGGAATACACGTAGACGACGAACGAAAAAATGGAAGAGGAGGAATTGCGAAAACGTGAAGATGGCGGAATCAGGAGCTAGGAGCGGCGGGAGTACAGTTTTTTAGCTTTCACAATACATTTTATTTAAATTTTTTATTGAAGCTCAGCCCGATTGAAATGCAATATATCGTATATATATAATTATTCCGCCAAATTTCAAATTGGCCGTGTGACTTTTCATTAATATTTGAAAAAAAATCCAGATTTGACGGGAAAAAGGCGGATGTGGCATCAGTATTTTAATACTTGTTAAATACTAGTTTTTATCGAGTGAAAAAATTTAAAACAGATATTGGTTGGTTATATGCGATAGATCAATAAGATATATATAGTTATAATTAAATACTCTAATTTTTATATTTAATATTTTTATATATTTCATTTATTTATATTTCATATAAATACTAAAATTAACTTAACTTACTGCCACATGCTGATTTCCTCCTTAACTGAATCTGGTCACACTAACACCTCAAAAAGACCGGGAACACGTGCATTTAGTTTGTTTTTGTTTGTTTCTTGCCGCGAATTGGTTTTTTATTAACAATGAGCAACAGCCAAAAGCTGGAATACGACTCCAGCCTGGGCGGCCGGGTGACATTGCCCTCGCACATCACCACCTACCACTATGCGGCGGGGGCTTTGCAGGAGATCCGCAGCCTGATCGCCGACGCCGAACAGACAACGCAGCGCAGCAGCAAGCTGATCTTCCAGACGCTGCCCAAGCACATGCGCCGCCGGGCAATGTCGCATCACCCAAAGCGTTTGCCGCGCAAATACCGCCAGGCGCACAAATCCCAGATGTCCAAGGGCGGCAACCAGCCGGTGAACGGCAAGCGTCCCTCGCGTAAGTATCGCCGTCGTCCCAAGAATCTGATGCGTGAATACATACGCCGCCAGCGGCAACATATCTGGCTGGAGACACACATCTGGCACGCCAAGCGCTTTCACATGGTCAATCGCTGGGGACACCGATTGCCGCTGGCCAGCTGCGACAAGACCTACCGGGCCTGCTATCGTGCCAGTGCCCAGCACTGTCTACTGCAGGATATCTCCTTTTACGGCTGTGTAGAGCTGCGTGGAAGTTTGGAGGCACTGCGTCAAGGATTCGCCAGGCTAACGAGTCCCGAATGCGGCCTGGGCATAGCGGCCAAGACTTTTGTGAGCGGACGGCGAGAGGGGAATGTAGAGCTCTTTGCGGATGGCCAGTATCCGCAGGGAGCTCTTCAGCGTGTTAGCTTTATGTGGCGTCCTCTGAAGAAGGAGGAGGAGCAACAGCAGCCAGAGGAACTGGCGGAACGCACTCTGTGGCTGTGGCTGCATCCCAGTGCCGCTCAAGCTACCATTGAGCAGTTAGTGCAAGTCTTCCAGCTGAAGTCAAAGAAGCAACAGAAGCTGCCATTGGAGGAGGAGAAGGAGATGGAGGAGGAGGATAAGGAGAAGGAGACGGAGGAGAAGGAGTTGCCAGGCGGGATTAAGGAGAAGCCTTTAGAGAAACCCCTACGCTTCTGGACACAAACCAAGGCCTTTGAGGTGGAGCCCACTTACTCCAATCTTGATGAAACTCTTCACTTGGTGCTAATGCAGCGTGCCTTCAGCCGATTCCGTTTGACAGGACCTCGGGCGCAAGGTGTCCTGGCTGCTAGCCTTCGCCCAAAACAGACTGAAAACCAGGACGAAGCCAAGGCCGACTACTGCCAGGCGGCTCTACAGCTAAGTTCACCCAGCGAGCTGCTTTCCAACCTAGTGATGGGCTACCAAGTGGTAGATCCACGCCTCCAAAGACCAAAGAAACGCACCAAGGCGGAGATCGTGTCCCAGCCAAGCTCCTCTCCCGGAAATCTGCTTTTAAATCAACCAAAAACCCTACCCGAAAGTCCCCTTTGGTCCAAGGAAACCCGCCAGCAACTGGCCAAAGGCATCATGACCACACAGGCTTATGAACAGCTGCGTCAGCAGCATGCCGTGGTGCCGGGTTCCCCCTGTGCCTTTGAGCAGGAAATGCAAGCTGTACCCTTGATACTAATCCAACGACCAGGATCTCAGGATTCCAGCTACAAGAGGCTGGCCTATGGATGCGGCTGGGATGTGATTGTGCCGGCTGGCTATGGTATGAACCTTTGGCTCACCCTAACCATGTGGGGTGCCAGGCCAGGTGGCTTAAGGGAGCTGGATACAGTGGCCAGGGAGGCGGGTGCTGAAATCCATCTGCCCGATACGGTGGCCGGAGTCCAAGAGTCGGCTGCCACGGCTGAGGAGCTGCGTAATCGCTACTTTCGGCTGCCGCCCAACAAGCGAACGAATTATAGGAAACTGGCAATAGCCAGTCCTTTTAGTGCACCCTGGAAACATCTAGTGAGAGACTGGAGTTCATCATCTACCACCTCCTTCTATGTTCTCCGCCATCGTCAACAATTGGAGATGATTGATGAATGCCTAAAGAGACGCCGGCCATGTCTACCGGCATCCCTGCCCGAGGAGGCCCTCATCCAAATCCATTTGCGACTGGTGGCTCGTGGTAATGTCAAGGACAATGCTTTGATTTGCCTGCCTACAGCGGCGGATCACAAACAGCGTTGGCATCAGTTCAAGCGGAATGAGGCGGCACCTGTGCATGTGGAGCCCGCCTTACCAGATCTCAATGAACGGGAACGCAAGGAGCTGCGCCAAAGTCACAAGATTCAACTGAAACGTTTGCGAGCGCGTAGAGTCCGGGAAAAGCGTCGCCTCCAGGAAACGGCCAACCGGCGGGTACACATCCGGGCGGCCAACACAGCTCAGCTGGTGCGTTCGCAACTGGAGACCATGTGCCGCCTGTGGCTGCCCACCGATCCTGCGGAGTTAAGGGACAGCGTACGCCGTCAGTGCAGCCGTGAAGTCTTTGGTTATGTGCGTTCTGCCGGTTTTAGCTTTACGGAGGCCTCGGTTTGTGCCGTGGGCTATGTCACCGCCGCCGGATTGCAGCAGCTACTCAGTGAACTGCCACATGGCAGAGGAGGCAAGTCGCCGCTGATGTGCCTGGTGCGTGACCCGGATAGCCGCGACTACAGATGGGCCAGCTTCCAGCTGAATCTGAACGTGGCCAGTCCAGCCTTTTGATGGGGTAAGGAATGTCTTCGTTTTTATGGCTAATAATAAGCTTATATAGAAAACTTTTTGTAGGGAAAATAAAGAGAAATATGGCTTTAACTTTAACAAAAAGTATAATATAAAATATTATTAAAAAAAATTAAATAAAAATTATGGATAAATAAAATATATTTCAAAAGACCTTTGAGGGTTTTATAATTTTAGTTAGAAGCCTAGAAATGAGAGGTGTCATTTCTGATCCTATAAACCATATATATTCTTGATCAGCGTCATCAGGCGAGTCGTTCTAGATAGGAGCGATAGAAAAAATTAAAAAAAATTTTTTTTCAATATTTTATATTTTATTTTATCCTTAAAACGTAAAAAAATAAATCGAAAAAAAATAAAATTTTAAAAATTTTAAACTTGATATGCAGATTTATAAACCTTGTAAAAACTAACACAGAACAGTTTTCCGAATTAAATTTAAAGCATTTTTGGCTGAGTTATTAAATTTTTATCATATGAAATTATGAATAAATATTTAAAATTGAATATTCCTTTAGAGGGTATCATAATTTCAATCAGAAGCCTATAAATGAGAGAAGGTGTCTTTTCTGACCCTATAAGCCATATATATTCTTGATCAGCGTCATCAGGCGAGTCATTCTAGATAGGTGCGCTAGAAAAACGTAAAAAAAAAAATTTTTTTTAATATTTTATATTTTATTTTATCCTTAAAACGTAAAAAAAAAAATCGAAAAAAAAATAAAAATTTTACATTTTTAAACTTGATATGCAGATTTATAAACCTTGTAAAAACTAACTCAGAACAGTTTTCCGAATTAAATTTAAAGCATTTTTGGCTGAGTTATTAAATTTTTATCATATAAAATTATGAATAAATATTTAAAATTGAATATCCCTTTAGAGAATATCATAATTTTTAGTCAGAAGCCTAGAAATGAGAGGTGTCATTTCTGATCCTATAAACCATATATATTCTTGATCAGCGTCATCAGGAGAGTCATTCTAGATAGGTGCGCTAGAAAAAATTAAAAAAAAATTGTTTTTCAATATTTTATATTTTATTTTATCCTTAAAACTGGTAAAAAAAAATCGAAAAAATTTTAAATTGTTAATTTTTTAAACTTGATATGTAGATTTAATAACCTTGCTAAAACTAACTCAGAACCGTTTTCCGAGTTGAAATTAATGAATTTTTGGCTCAGTTATTCAAAAACTGAGTCAAACAAAAAATTGTTTAAACCTTTTTTTTAATGTTTAATTTTAGACATTCTTAAAAAGCCACTTTTATTTAGTTGTTAAATTTATTATTTATTTTTATATTATTTATTTATTTTTTTTTAAATATATTATTGATTTGTTTTTATTTTTTAATATATATGTTTTTTTTATATGCTCTTATTTTTATTTATTATTTATAATAGAAAACCCCCCTTTTGAAAGCACTAAAAAAACACCGTTTTTTTTTTGTTGTACATATTTAATACTAATTTTTATTCAATTTAAAATTACTTGTATGCCTTTCTTGTCTTCGTTTACCATAAACTTGTTGTTACTTTTCTTTCATTTTCATTTTTGTATTCGTTATGCAAATGGAACTCAACTGAGCGAGTGTGGGTGTGATGTATGTGTGGTGTGTGTGTGTGTGTGTGTTTATGAAGTTTTATAACAAAAAAAAAAAAGGAAATGTTGTTAATTGTTTTTGGTTTTTTTCGTATCTAAAATACGACGAATGTTTTTAAAAAATTGCTTACAATTTTTGGATATTTTGTTGAATTTTTTGGTTTTGTTTTTCATTATCCTTAAATTGTAATTAATAATTTGTAATTTTTTTGTTGTGGTTGTAATTTTTTTTGGGTTGTATAATATTCCACACACATTTTTTGTTGTTGTTGTCGTAATTGTTAAGGTTTCTTTGCTTTTTTTTTTTGGTTAATGCGGAAAATGTATTTTTTGAGATGCATGTAAATTTTGCTTTTTCTTCTGTATATATATATGCATATATATTTGATCAGTTATTGAAATTGTCTATATACTTACGGGGTATATATATAAGTACGCCTATATATATATATGTATATATATATATATATTTTTTTTTGTGTGTGTTTTTTTGTTTTTGGGCTTTAGCTGTTTTCTCTTATTTTTTTTGTGCGTTAAGTTTGTGGAATCTTTCTTTTGGAATACTACTTATCCATGATGATGATTTTGTTTTGTTTAACTTACATAATTCCATTATGTAAACATCGTTTTTTACTTATAATTATACAACTTAGTTGAAACATTTAATAAATATTTCGGCTCCAATCCTGGCTCACGTTGTTGTTGTTGTATGGCATAAAATATGATTCAATCTTATGTTTAAATTAAATTTTTTAATGACAAAAAACAATGGGTTTTTATAATTATATATTTATATATTAATAATTGGAATTAATATATGAATATATAACTATATATTATAGATGTAATTTTAAGTTTTTAAGCTTTCAAGTACAAGTTTCAAACTGAATTTGATTCGCAAACTTTTGAGTATATGATTCATGATTCATGACTGTCTTTTCTGTGTCTTTTGTTTGTGTGCTGAACTCTACATACTTATGGCTTTAATTCTGTTTGTTTTTTATTTATTTCTTTTGGCTTTTGCTACCACATTACATTTGATTGGATTACGATTACGACGAGTATTGAATACATATTCTGCCATACTGAATTCTGAACTGCTGCTGTTTTCTTGCCTACAGTTTATGCTTTATATATATATATATATCTTTATATATGTATATAGATTATAAATCGCCAATCTCTGTGGGCAAGTGGGCAGTGTGTAGTTAGTGTTCCTTCTCTTTCTCTGCCAAAATTTCAATTTCAACGAAATTCCCTCCTTTATAATCCATTGGTCATATTTCGTTTTATATTTTTTCTTTGGAGAGGAATACAAGTTTGAAGGTTTCTTCGGGGGGAGGGGAGAAGAAGATAATGTGTTTATAATGTTGGTTGGGGTTTTAAAGACGGCTCTTCTCCTTGTATAAAACTTTTGAAATACTTTGAATTTGGTGGGTTAGTATACATATATTTATAGATATACGTGGCAATATATATCTTTTCTTTCAAAATGCTTTTGCTTCGTCTTCAACTTTACTTTTTTCTTGTTTTTTGTTTTTTTAACATTGTAAATTGTAAACAATTTGATGCTTGTCAATGGTTTCTCAATCCTTTTTTGGTAGCTCCTTGATCCTTGCTTGATCTTTTCATAAATGCGGGGATTTCACTGGGAAAAAGTTGTTCATTTCATTTCGTTCAAGTTTTGCTTTTGTTTTTCTGAAAGTTTAATGTTTTTCTTCTCCTATAACATACATACATATTTCAATTTTATTATTATTATTTGTTTACCGTTTAATTATATGTAGTTTTTTTTTTTTTGCTTTTTAACATCACTACTAATAATCAAAAAATGGACATTTATAAACTTTTATATAATGTATATATTAAAAATGTTTTTTTTTCGGTTTTTCTTTCGTTTTTATGTGTTTTTTTGGCCCTTTAAATGCGCCCCAAATTTGCTTTGTTTTTTCTTGTCTTTTTTTTTTAGATTTTTCGTTTTTTCCTGTTTTAGTTATGTTTTTTTCGTTTTTTTGTTTTCTTTTGGAAATTTGTTTTTACAATTGGCCATGAAGTTGTGTCTTAGCGCCATTTGTGGTTTCTAAATTTCTTACAAAAAGTTTCATGAATTAATTGCTGCTGAGAAATAATAAGAAATTTGAACAAAAAAATAGGTTGAAAATGTGAAAAAAATCATAGAATTCATCACAGTTTGTTGTTGTTATTCGGCTGTTACTGTTTTCTTGTTGAAAATGTGGCAAAAGTCAAGTTGAAAATTTGATTCCGAATGCAGGAGTGTGTGAAATATGTTCCAACCGTTGTCGTTTCCTGTATCGATACGTTTCCATTTCCGTTTCCTGTGGCTGCATTCTTCATGGCATTGCTTTAGGTGTGTGTGTGTGTGCGTGTGTCTGTGTGTGTCTTTTTCTCAAAATGTGTACAAATGTGTGTGTGTATTTTACCCCAAAAATAGCCTTCGCGAAACAACGCGAAAAGTAAACAACCATTTTGTTATCGAATAATTTCCATCTTATTCGCAATGTGAATTTTTAATCGATTTTTTTTTAGTTTTTTTGTTATCGTCTGGGTTTTTTTTTTTAATGGGTTAAAACAATTATAAAATTAATAAGATTAACCTTCGTTTCGTTAGTAACAATGGATATTGCGGCGGTGTTAGAGACGAAACTAAAACTAAAGTTTAAACTAAACAATAAGGTTTAAAATGTATATTTTAAACATAGGTTTTTTTTTTTTAAATTTAATAATATTAAATATTTAACTCAGATGGTGATAAATGGGTGCGTGCGGGCGAAACTGTAAACGCTATGACTTAGTTTTTAAGTTTTTTTCTCCAAAGTTTTAAGAGAGTTAAAACAAAACAAACAAAATAGGGAGGCGCGCGCTATCGTTATCGATCATCGGTCATCGGATTTACTTTTTTTTGGTTAATCGTGCGGTTTGCCGTTCGATTTCGTTTCGTTCGTAAACTTAGTAACTAAAAAACGAAAACGAAGAACTCAAAATCATAATATATTCATATCTGCATTAATGTATATATTATATGTAGTATGCATGTTTTTTTTTTTTTTTTTTTTTTTTTTTAATACGTAATTAGAAACTAACTCTTCTCCCTCACTTGATTTCTGGTTTTAGCATTTGTTTTTTTGGGTTCGCTACATTTTGGTTTTGGTGCATTTTCATTATAACTCCCACAATCGCATCCCTTAGAGCCTCCTCCTGGCCATATGTGTGCCATCTTACTCCAGGCGTGCCTTGTAGGTGGTCTTCCAGATCTCGGCAAGTGTCACGGCGCTGTGGAATCGATGGAAGATGCACAGGGGCAGTGTGATGCGCTGGATGATTGACCAGGGCACAAAGCCGTAGAACTCCAGCTGAACCTGTGGATATATTTATGCGGGGTTTTAGGGTTAATGTTAAAGCCTGAAAGTCATATATTTCTTAGCTAAAACATTTAACAAATCATGCAGGTTTATATATAGTAAATATATGTATGGTTATAGAAAGGAAAAATGTACAAGGGAGACGTATTTAAACATTCAATTACGGGATATTTAAAAAACGATTTAAAATCGATAAATATCAAAGTTTTTGCAGCATGTCCAAAGACTTTGAAATATCTTCTAAATAATAATTAATTTTTAAATGCTATAATTATTATAAATATAACAGAATCTTAGCTTTCCTTGTTTGAATATTTAAAATTCGATTTCAAATCGATAAATATTAGGGTTTTTGAAATATCTTTAAATAATGAATTTGTAAATGCAATAATTATAGTACTGAATCTCCCTTTTTAAATTATTTATTAATTTAGAGATTTTAAAATCGATAAACATCAAAGTTTTTGAAGCTCTAACTACATACATGTTAAGACTGTAAAATATCTTTTAAATAATTAATTTTTAAATGCAATAATACTGAATCTCCCTCTTCAAATGTATTTATTAATCTTTAGGCATGCATAAAATTAGTTATCGTTATCGATTAGATATAACAATTCGAACAACGAGTAGAGAACGAGAGCGTTAATCATCTTACTTAACTCAGTCTCGCTTACGTACATATCTACTTACAGGATTGGCGAATACTTTTTGAGCTTCGAAGGTGTAGATGGCAAACATGGCCACGTTGCAGATGAGTAGGAAGGTGACAATCTGGCGGCCGGGCTTGCTGCGATCATGCTCCGGCAGGTGGACGCGACGCCTTGAAACGTCCGCAATGAACAGCAGCTGAAGAATCACTTGGAAGACGGCCACACCGCCGGTGGTCGTCACCAGCAGGCTGGGCTCACTCTCCAGGACCTTCAAACTACCGGCAATAATGCTGAACACTGAATAGGTGAACAGACCAAAGGCCGAGATGCGCAGCAAGATGTCGTTCAGGTTTGATTGCTCCTCGCAGCGGAATTTCAGGTTCTTTACCCTGTTGGTTTTTTTTGTATTTAAGTAAACAGATATAATAATTAATTAAGTTAGTTTAGTTAGATACTTAAGATCGTGGATATAATGGACTGCACAGCGAGAATATAAAGCCAAAAACGCTTACTTAAGTTTGCATTTTCTTTAAAAAAAAAAGAGAGAAGCAAAAGAAATGGTTTTTCTTTAAGAAAAAAAAATACCAATGAGGCTTGCATAATCCGAAACATTATTTTTTTTTTGTAATAAAATGCAAATAATATTTGCTTTAACTTGAAAAAATTATTAAATGTATTTTTTTTTCTTAAATTGGTATTAGGAATGACAATAATCGATGATTTAACGTTGCGATAAATCGATAAATATATATATATATCGAAGCCATACAAATAGGTTATCAAAAAATTAGTTTTGAACGGGATTAAGATTTCAGAAAAACATTTTTAAATAGAGCTGCAAATAAAATCGATTCTTTAAATGATTAATCGATTTTTTCCGATATTTTCTTTATCACAAAATTAGTTGTAACTGGAGCTAAAAATAAAATCGATTAATCTAATTATTTTTAAATATTTTCTATGTCAACAAATTTGTTTTAACTAGAGCTCAAAATAAAATCGATTCTAGAATCGATTAATCTATTTTTTTTCTCGATATTTTCTATATACAAAGATTAGCTCCAATCAGAACTGAAAATAAAATTGCTTCTAAAATCGATTAATCGATTTTTTCAATATATTCTAACTTTATCAGAAAATAAAATCGATTCTAGAATCGATTAATCTACATTTTTTCGATATTTTCTTAATTTGAAATACTAAATTTTTGATATAATATTTATATCGGTATATTTTATCGCACTTTTCTTCTTCGATATCCATTCCCAAACCCTCTATATTATCCCTGCACAGCCATTTTTCAAACAGTTGAACCGTATTCCGACCTTATAAAGCCCACTATGATGGCCAATATGGCAAAGGCCATCAGGATGCAGTGACTGGCATCGGCCAGATATATGGCCAACAGCGAGAACTGCTGATGGCGCACCAAGACGAAGAAGAGTATCAGGCAGATTAAGGCCCCAACCAGCAGCAGCAGCCCAAAGAACAGGCCCTTCGACGAGCCAACGCAGTCGACGCGTCCGGATCTCGCCTGCTGGGCCATTGCCACCGCTCGGCGTGACAGCATCACCTCCAGCCGATGCTCCAAATCCTCATCGTTCATCCTGCCCGGATATCGGCCAATGTGCTTCCACATTACATACAAAACCACCGCCCCAATTAGCGAGTATTCGATGATGAATGGATATAGATATGGCGCCGAATCATAAACAATTGTGCCCATTATGTCAATGCGTCCGCAGGCAGTGGAATTGAGTGTGCCAATGTTGGAGGACAATGCCGCCGGATATATATTGTCCAAGCTTTCAAAATTCTCAAAGCTAACCAGACCGTTGGACTCTTCATGTCCCAAATCCGTATACGTTTGGAAGCTATTCTCCATGGGTCCCTGGCCAAATAGATTATTCATAATGCTACCGGCGCCACCTCCCTCGGTGGTGCTGCTTATAGCCGGGCTCAATGTGCTGGCCAGGAATGTGTCCACAAATGAATTGGAATTGGAATTGCTAATGCTGCTGCCGGGCGTGGCTGCTGCGGAACCGAACCCATCGACTGGCGCCAGGCTCGGCGTTGCGGCGCTGGAAAGGATACGCTGCAGGCCGCCGCCAAAGGGCGATGATTCGCTGGCAAAGATGTTGCTGCCGCTGCTGCTGCTGCTCTCCAGGGGATTGGCTGTGGTACTGGCGGTGATGATGGACTTGGCTGTGCTTGTGGTGGAACTGATGATGGAACTGGTGGTTGTGCTGGTAAATGGACTGAAGGTGGTGCTCGGTGTGGTGATGGTGGTGGTGGTGGTACTGCCGCCGCCACTGCCCCCCGCCGCCGCCGTGCTAGCCGCGGTGCTGGTGATAAACTTCTTCAGCTTGCGGGCCATAGTAGTGCTGTGCCATTGATAGCCGGGTGTTGTGTATGATGGTGCCCGCGTTGTGGTCGTGGTTGTGGTCATGGTATCGCCACCACCCATGCCCAAACTCTTGGAGATCCCATCCACAGTATTGCGCACCAGTTTGGACAGTACATTGTCACTCTTGTACACATCCTTGGGCAACAGATCCTCGCCATCCAAGACCTCGAACTCACTGTTCGGTCCAGCATGAGTGCGTAGCACGGTCCCGGCATGACGCAGGGCATGCTGACGTATGGAATGGGCTATGGATGAGGCACCCGGCTCTGGAGCATTCTTCTGATGATAAATGGTAATCTCCAGCAGGGATTCCTTGACCAAAGTACGGATCCAGACACAGATATTGGTGGCCACCACGTGCATTAGACCAAAGCGGGCGATCACTTTGAAGCGGTGGATGTTTAACTGCAGGCGGAAAAGAGATAGATAGAAAGAGAGAGAGAGAGAGAGAGAGGATTGCGCGGGACGCTTGAGTACGGCGGTGAGCTTTATGGCGGTAAGTACATTTTTTGAGTACATTGATTACATAAGACTGGGATTACGGGCAAAAAACTCAGTTCGAAGGCAACCAGAACTGCTTGTCCATTGTTCCAGCAGAGATGGGTCTTTCTTTCTAGATAGTTTTGAGGTTATCTGTAGAACATCTACTTCAAATATGATTATTTCTATTTCAAAAACCCTGCACTGCTTATTATTGACTTATATCAGGGTTTTGCGCTTTCAAATTGCTTTAAAATGTGTCTAAAAGTATGCTATGAAAAGCCTTAAGAAGATAAATATATCATTGCATACTTTTAGACATAATTAAATACTTTTGAGTAGTAAAAAAATCTAAAAAAAGGGATTATCTTTTTTAATACTAAAATTATTTTTAAAAAATCCAAAAAAAAAACTATAACATTTAATAGTTACATGAAAATATGGTAAAAATTAAGCAGAAAAGTATGCAATTATTTTCACCAGAAAATATTGTTTTTTTTTTAGAGACATGAGATTTTAAACTAAAAATATTTTTAAAAATCTGGAAAAGAAACTATAACATTTTCTAATTATATAAAATTATAATACATTTATGCATAAAAGTATGCAATTATTTGCACCAGAGGAATGAGACTTTAAACAAATTTTAAACTATAAATATAAAAAATTTTAAAAACAAAAACTGTATGAAAATTTTGTAAATGAATGCATAATATATATTCTAGTTATTAAGAAAATGTTATCGTTTTAGAGGAATAAGATTTTAAATCACTTTTAAATGAGCCTAAAAGTATGCTTTGGAAAATCTTACTTACTTACAGCTATAATAATTTTCCTATATTTTCCAGAATTATAAATCAGACCACAACTAGGTATACGTATTATTCTCTATAGAAAAAATCCCCCTCTCTGCAGGAACATTGGTGACCAAAGATCAAAAACCAAACGGTCGAACCCTTAAAAATATAAAAACTTGTTTTTAGACTATAGATTATCGTATATCGTAGCATATGTATGTATATATATATATGTTTTAGTTTATATTATATTATATTATCATATAATATGGGTATGCACATTTATGGTGAGAACGAAATGAGGGGTAGAGAGGTTGATGATTGATGTACAGGTACACAGGTGTACGGGTTGAGTTGTTAGGGGTAGAGTACAGTATACAGTAGAGTAGAGAGTAGAAAATGAGTTGCATATCGTACCTGAAATGGCGGCCTAGTCTGCGATCGCGATCGAATGGGGCGGAGTTGTGGGATTATGTACACAAAAATGGTTCATTAAATTAACTACGTAGCAAAATTTCGAAATTTTTGTGTTTTTTTTTTTTTTTTTTAAGAATGAATGATTATATGCGTTTGATTTGGAGTGAGTGGAATGAATATGTTTGAATATGAATGGATTGATATATATGTATGAATGAGATGTGGCTGTTTCAATGGGTCCTAGGGCATGTGTGTGTGTGTGTGTGCTGGGGCATCCGAACTACATATATTATAAATATATTATAATGTGTCAGTGTTCAGAAACAGATGGGATCAAGGATCAAACCAATATAAAGTCAATCTGATGTTAAGTTTTTCTCTTAAAAATTAGTTTTATGATTTTAAGAAAATTAAATTTTCATTTTAATTTTAATATTTAATTTTATTTGTAATATTTTATTTTAATTTTTATATTTTATTTTAATTTTAATATTTTATTTTATATTTAATATTTTATATTAATTTTAATATTTTATTTTAATATTAATATTTATTTTAATTTTAATATTTTATTTTAATTTTAATTTAATTTTAATATATTATTTTAATTTTAATATTTTATTTTAAATTTAATATTTTATTTTAATTTTAATATTTTATTTTAGTTTTAATAATTTATTAATTTAATTTTAATATTTCATTTAATTTATTGACTATTATATTTATTAACTTATATATTTTATTTTCATTTATCTTTTTTTTTTTTTTTTATTTATTATTTATTTTTTATTTTATTTTTTTATATATATATATTTTTTTTTATTTTTGCTTAATTTTTTTATTATTTATTTTTATATTTTTTATTTATATATTTTTTTATTTATATTTTTTTTATTTATATTTTTTTCATTAAAATTTTTTTATTTTATATTTTTTATATATTTCTTTTTTTTTTTATATTTATTTTTTTTTTTTTATTAATTTGTTCTTTAATTTATTATTTTTATTGTTATTATTTTTTTTAGAGTTCAAAACTATTCAGATTGACCTTAATGGTTATTTGTTTCAAAGTCTGTTGTCTGTTTGCTTAAATGTTCATTGGAGATTGACTGATTGATTGACTGAGAGAAGCAAGCGAGTGATAATGGCAGATGTGATGTGATTGCAAATGCAGATACAGATACAGATACAGATACACTAACAGATGCGGATGGATGAAAACTGAACTGAAAAGCTGCCAATTATAGTACGCCAATTCAAAGAGGTTTGTGGTGAGTTTTGGATTGAGTTACAGATACACATTTTACGGATACCGGAAACCGAAACCTGACTTGTCAAATGCCGCGACCTATCCTCCGCTTTGGGGGTTTTTTTTTTATATCACTAACCTCGCCTCGCGAACTATACCCTTCTTCGGGGGCTGGGGGGGGGACTCTGAGTAAGGGGAAACTGGGGGTATATATGGGGAGTATTGTGTACTTATGGATGGCTTTAAACATTTAACATACGAGTATATAGAATAGCCGTAGATAATAGGCAGTAGTAGGTAGTATTTGGTAGCAGTAGTAGCAGTAGTAGTAGTAGTAGTAGGTAGTAGTCATATGCTTACAGTGTTCTTTAGATTTAGAGCTAACGAGTCTACACACACCGAAAGCCCCCTGACTTACCCGTGCATTCATGAATATAAAGTACATCTGCATGAAGGTAAATATCATCTGAAGCAGCGGATTCACTCCAATCAGTATGTGGTGGCAGGGCGAATCGAAGGGTATCTCGAAGAACGAACCAAATTCCAGTCCAATATAGATCATGGCGCCCAGTCCAAAAGCTGTGGAATTTTTATAGAATTATTTAAAATGTCAGGGGAAGGTTAGGTTGAGACTCACCTATGGCTCCCACTCGCAGGAAGAAGCTGCCATGCGTGGGATCACTGTGGGTTGTCTTGCGTTTGCGCACATTCTTTGGGGTGACGGCCACCTCGGCGTCCACGGGTGCTTCCTGACGGGGGGAACAGATAGTTGCAATTAAACAGCAAACAAAAAACTAGCCCCAGTTGTTACTCTTAATTAGCTTATCTCTGGCCAAGGCTTTGCCTTTAATTAAACACTGGGTCATGTGAAATATGTCACGAGTGAGGGTCAAAGACTATTCTATTAAAGGTGTTAAAGGGATTTAAGGGAAGGTTTTTTCATTAATTTATAGAATATAATATTTATTTCTTTGAGATTCGAGTTTTTAAAGATTTTTCTTTCCGAAAACCCACCTGATATGCGGCGCCCTTGGCTGCCTTGCCAGAGTCCTTAGAGCCCTTCGCATCCTTCGAATCGGCGGGATCGGCATTCTTGGCTTTCTTAGACTTCTTCTCCTTGGGTTGGGGTTTCGGCTTGCTGCCACCATTGCCATTGCCGCCATTGCAGCAAGAGCTCTCTGTATCAACGCAAAAATATATCGATTAAATAGAGCTAAAAATCGTTCCTATAATCGATTTATCGATTTTTTTTTAAATTTTAAATACATTAATATACATTTTGTGTATCAAATTAATCGTAAAGTTAAAAGTTAAATATAAAGTTTAATATTTTAGACTATTTTTAATTAAATATTGTGCTCTTTTAGGAATACCGGAATTTTTTCGATGTCATATTAAAGATGAAGAATAGCAAAAATTGCATATTTAAATAAGAATATCGATAGATAAAATGCCAAAAATCATAAAATTATAAATCTATAATGTTTTCTACTTTTATCGATTATAATCAATTTACTTGTAGATTTTTTGTTAAAGAAAAATATATCGATTCACTGAAATATCGATAGATAAAAGGCAAAGATAAAAGGCAATTATAAATTTTTGTTGTATAATTCAAAATATTTTTTTCCGTTTTCGTTTTTAATCGATTATAATCGATTTACTTGTAGATTTTTTGTTGAAAAAATCGATTTATTTTCAGCTCAAATATATAATTTAAATATATTTTTCTTCATAGAAAACTCACCCTGCAGCAGGAAACAGAAGACATAGAGGAGGAAGAGTATGCTGACGCCGTAAAGATATGTGAAGAACGTTTCGTAGTAGAGCACTGGCAGTCGGTGTGTAGTCACATCGCTGATTACGTAGGCGATGCAGACGACGATCAGTAGGATCGCATACACCAGACTGGTCACAATGAACAGCGATGTCCTGTGGAGGATGTAGGTAAGAAGTCACATTAGTCCTTGGTTCACAACAAAATGCCACTTTAAAATTCGATTATGTACAGAAGAGTAAACACTCGAAGGGGGGAGGTGCACTTTTGTGTTTAAAAATACGGATGTGTGTGCGGGTGTGTATATTTTTTGTTGTGTTGAGAACTGTGCACAGATGTGGATCCAACGGTTGACCCACTATCCCGCTTCCTTGCCGGCGGAGCGCTAAATTCCCATCCCCCATTGCAGGTCTTGATTTTTGCAGTGTGTGTGGTGTGCGAAGGAGTGTGTAAGTGTGTGCTTGGCATGCAACTAAGGTCTCAAGTGCATTTCCACTTGACGACACGAGAGCATAACCGCCCTGAATTAGCCCCCATTTGATGTTTGATTAGCCACAGAGACAGAACCCGATTTGCACAGTGGGATCTAACCACAAAAATAATGGCAAAATAATTTAGGATTTATATTCCTTTAAAAAATTAAATTAATTAACTATTCAAAATAATAGTTCATGAATTAATTCATTACAATTAAAAGTAGTTAAAAAATATTCCCTTGTTTTTTTTTAAATTTTTTTTTATTAATTATTTTAATTATAGTGACTCAAACTATATTTTCCTTTAAAAAATAATTACAATTAAAAGTAGTTAAAAAATGTTTACTTGTTTTTTTTTAATTTTTGTTATTAATTATTTTAATTATATATTTAAACAAAAATTTTTTTTATTTATTTATTATTTTATTTATTTTATTAAATTTTTAAAAACTACATATTTCAAAGTTTTCTATAATTTTATCCCACTGTGCCTCATTTGCAGTTATTTTGTGACCCAGTTTTAGTTACTGCTTTAAATACACACACAGCTTTTTACCACCCCCACGCCCCCCCAGTACCCAATTTTCCTTCTATCTGTGTTTGTGTGCAAAGAACTGTATCAAATCTGATGTTAGCATTGTATAATATTGAAGAAGTCCTTAAATTATGCAGGACATAAAAGCTGATTAACAGTATTCATGCCCAATTTAGAGAATATATTGCAGATAATTATAGGATGATTTTCCCCATTTTCTTTCTCTATTTCTTATATTTTTTTTAAATATATCTTGCACTTATATATATTTTTTTCAGATTTAAAGGCATTTTTCATAAGGTGTTTAAAAATATGCCATGAAATTTATGTAGCATACTCTTAGGCAGCCTTAAAAAATATTTTTAAATCTCTTGAACTTGTTTATTATATTTTTAAACTAAAATAAAAATCTCTTGACCTAATCTATATCAGAAATCTTAAAAACAAATCCCACATTAATTCTTCGTTTTTATATTATCAAAAATAATATATTTTGAGGGTGATTTTCTTTTGGGGATCTATGAAACATAGGGGTCATGGACTGCTGGAGCATTTTGGGACATGGTTTTTATTATTATTATTATTATTTTGTTATTGTTTGTTGTTAGGGTAGGTCAATGGTGTTCTTGTCACATTACCATAGTTCGATTGGTCCCGTTATCGGATTTGTTTCGTATGTGCCCTGTACCGTTATTTTCGCTGGCATAAAACTGTACTTATTTGGATTTGGCTTGAACGCGTAGCAAACCCTATAAGATTCGATGTGAATTAAATAGTTTTTGATTTCCAATTAAATGGTATTAAAGGGAGACGGCGGACGGTGTATATAAATATGTATGAAAGCGCACAGAAAAAAAAAAAAAAAAAACAAATAACGGAAGCGGAAATCCTTTTTTTGTCGGGGGGGTTACGTTACACCTCGTTACGATAGAGAGAGAGAGAGCAGGTATTGCACTTTTGGTTATATATATATATATATATATTTATTTATATACTAGGGCTTAGCATTACTTTATGTACAGGGGAGTGGGTGTGTGTGTGTGTGTGTATGAGTGGCTAAAGCTGTTATACAAAGGGATTAGCTTAATTCTGAGCAGGATATGGCCTTGATTTTTAACTCGTTTTGCCTCAAAGAAAACCCCCCTGTTAAGTTCTGCTGGAAATCGAGTGTAAATTGTGTCGAAAGTTAACAGTTGGCATGGATTTTAATTCAATATTGTTTATTTTCTAAATTAATATGTATTTTTCATGAAATATATATTTTTTATAGGAAGAATAAGTATAGATTTGAAAAAAAGATATTTATTGGTTCCAAAGTTTTGGGAAATTTCAAAGAGTTGTCAACAAAACCTGACACTTTATTATTAAAAATAAACAGAAAAAACCTTAAGTTTACTAATCTCCTAATCAGCTTTATGTCTTAGCTTATATTGTCATATTTTTCACGTTTTACTCTTAGGTTTTTACAAAATATTTTTTTTTCCTTTTTTTTTAACCAAAACCCCCAAATTTCAACCAGTTTTTAATAAGTTTTTAGAAAACTTTTGGGAGTACCTCAAATTTTATAAAAACAAAGTTCTTTTGAACTTTTGTTACTACCTTACTTCTCTTTACTACCTTACTTTTTTTTACTACCTTTTTTTTAGGAGCTTAAATTCCTTAAGAAATGGTACTGTCTTTTGGTTATCAGAGATGGTAAAAAAAGTACACTTGAAAGAGATAGGAAAACCTCGATTCTTAGAACAAATATTTGTCGTTATCGATATAGTATTGTTATCGATATAGCATCGTTATCGTTATAGTATCTTTATCGATATAAAAAAGTTAGATATAAACTTCAGATAAAGATCGATTCCAAAAGATATACTTTCCCCAAACAAAAGCCTTAATTTTGTCCCGTCAAAAACACTAAATTGCAATCGTTATCACTTATCGTTATCGTTATCATTTATCGCACCTTTGCAACGGCTGCGGCATGACATTCTTGAGCTCCATCTCCTTGTTGGCGGCATTATTCTTCTCGGCGCTATCGGTGCTACCGGCGGTATGGGAACGGGAGACCGGCAGCGTGGCCATGTTATCGCCGCCCTCCACGTCGACGGTAGCGACCTTCACTTCACCGCCGCCCATTGTCTCCGTTTCCGTTTCGGTCTCCGTTGTGCTGCTGTTGGCTTTTGGCTGGTTCTATCGGTTTTTTGGTTTCTTTTTTGTTTTTCGATTCCTACGATAACTATCGGCAATAGCTATCGATAGGCGGGCAAACCGGTTACAGTGCACTTGTCACTCTTTTTGTAAGTTTTGTTTTTGTAATTATGTACTAAATGGAAACAATTTGCAGGGGTTATTTGTATTAAATTCCAATCTGGGAATGCAACAGAATAGTAATACTATATAGCTATCTCTTTTATACGGACCCCCCCCCCATGTATAACTTGCTTTCTCTCTCGTTTTCTCTGCTAGGATTTTTGGCAGGACTTTTGTGTGTGTGGAACGCATTTGAAATGCATTTGGCCAAAAAGCTGATAAGGCAGATGAGGCGTGGCCAGGGATTCCGAAACGGACTGCATCCCGGATGGGAGCGACCTAGTGACCTCTCTCTCTCTTTATCTTTGCTCTCCCTCTCTCTCTCTCTCTCTCTGTCTCTCTCTCACTCTTGTGCTTGTAAACAAGCCGGAATCAACCCTGCAAGTTCGTCGGCGGGGAAAGTGTATCCTGTGGAGCTCGGGAAAACTCCGTGCTCCTTCGATGTGCTCCCGTGTGTATGCATTGGACCTATGTAAGGGAGCACAGCATCAGCCTCCCCAGCATCCTTTTTCCACACATTTTTTTTTTGGAGTCCTCGAGAGCGAGGCCGCCTCTGTGTGTATAATAAGCTGCTTAACTTGAGCGTGTGTGTGAGAGAGCCTAGGTATTTGTATGTATTGCCCGGTGCCATCAAAAGTCCTGATTTCTTGCTTTTTTCCTTAATCTTTTTTTTTGTGGGAGGCCTGGCCTTAGGATTTCCTCTAGAATATATTCCCAGAGTCCCTGCAAATTGTTTCAGTTTCCAAAAACCTTAAGGTTTTCATATTTCCTAGTTGGAGTCTTGATTAGATCCTTAGATCCTTGTTTGGTTTATGTAGTTTCACTTTAGCGCGTCACAAATCACTTATTTTTTTCACTATAAAAAAATATAATGTTTGTTTTCAACTACTGTTGTTTCTTTTATTGAAATTATTAACTCGGCTAGCTTTTCCGGGGCAGGACTCTGGCCTCCTCTGTTGGAGGAGCTGTGGGCTCTGGGCTACCTGGGTTCCGAAAAGAACGGCTCGGTTCGCTTCGCTTCGACACGTCCAAGACCCTTTACTATCCAACTACAACTGAAACACGGGCCCTGCCAGGATAAATCCAGCAGCCAGCAGCCAGCATCGAGCATTGAGCATTGAGCATCCTTTTTGGCCAGCAGCCGCCCTCGATTTGCGCCGAATCCTTTCGCTCTCTCTCGCTCTTACTACCTCTCTGGCTGCTCTCGCTCTCTCTCTCTCTGTCCCTCTCTTTCTGGTCTTACTATATGGCGGTTCTGCTCGCACGCAGGAGACGTAGGGGAAAAGCGGTCCTGTTTGTATGCTAAAAAGTAGGACACATTTTAGGTGCGCGCTCTGTTGCTCTCGGTTTTGCCATTCATTGCGATTTCTTTTTTCTTCCCCATTGTGTCCTTTTGTGTTAAGCGGTGATTTTTTATATATTTTACTTGCAAGTATTTAGTTTTTTTTTTTAAATTTGATTTTTTTTTTGGGTTAAAGTATTTTTAGAAATATTTTTTAAACGAGTTTAAAAGCTTTGTTGCTGAGGTTTGTGTATTTAGTAAGCCTTTTGCTTCCTTTTGATTTTTTATATATTTTATTTGCAAGTATTTAGGGTTTTTTTTTTTAATTTTTGATTTTAAATAAGGCTTTAAGGATTTTTAAAAATAAAAAATAGGCTTAAAATATTTTTAAATTCATATTTTTTATACGAGTTTAAAGGCTTTTGGTTATTTATTAAGCCAATATTTAGAGCTTTATACATATTTTTTTTATTTGATTTTTTAAGCATTTAATTTTGAAATTTGTAAAGTTTATAATTTATTATAATTAGTAATGCCCAGAACTCTTTAATTTCCTTTTTTTTTTTTTTTTTTTTTTAATATTTTTCATACTTTTAAAGCTACTTTTTTTAGTTTTTCTTTTTAATACATTTTTTTCCTAGTTTTTCTAATTATTTCATTTGTTTATTTTAGTTATTTCCAATATTTTACGTACTTTTTAGTCTCATTTAATTATTTAAATTTTTAAATATATTATTTCTAACTTGCTTTTGGTTTGTTTTTCTATGATTAATTCTTAATTCGTTCTATCATTGCCATATTTGCCTTTTAATTTGCACTCCTGTTCGAAAATACGTATCTTTTAATTGAGTTTTTCATCTGGCAACTCGCCACACTCACACACACTCGTTAGTCGCGTTGTAAATGGGTCAATTTACGTGGTCCCAAGCTGAGTGAGAGGCTTTGGCAGTGTTGGAGATGGGACTGTGTGCGACATGCCAATCAGCGCCCAGTTGCATCTACCAACTGCATCCTGCCTGGGAGGGGGGTCCTTTTTGTAACGGAATGGAATGAATGGGAATGAAACGGAATGGGAACAGAGACGGCGGCAGGAGTCAGTCATCGAAAAGCAACAGCCCAAAACTCAATTTAGTCACGATGCTCCTCCTGGCTGCCTTTACTGATTTTACTACAACCGATTGTTGTTCTTGTTTTTGTTGTTGTTGTTATTATTTGTTGTTGTTTTTGTTTTTGTTGCTGCGGTGCGACGTGTTACAACCGCCTCCCCCAGAAAAAACCACCCAAAATCAAAGAACTTATCTGCACAGTGGGAGATTTCTTGGAAATATCAAAAGAAGTTTTTGTTTTGATATTTTTTTATGTTACTTGATTTATTTTATTTATTTGTTTTTAATTTTTAAGAGGCTTTGGGCTCATTGCCTCATTCACAAAATCCTTTTTTAAGTCTAAAACCCATCTCATTTTATTTTGTCGCCCCAACTCCCTTTAATCCCTCTTGAGTTACCCTTTGTGACCCACTGTGCGCTGCCGCAGAGCTTACGATAAAAGACCAACTTCGTCGTCATACTGTCTGCCTTTGCAATTCGTTCTGACTCGCTCGCTCCTTTGGGCTTAGTCCTTGCCTGTTTTATCGTAACTCCATTGCCGCTTCCTCTTTGTGTCGCTGTCCTCCTGCCCTCTGCTCGTTGTTGCGCCGTCCGCTTTGTGCGCATTTCACAACAACATTGCGGCATTCTGTTTTGGTTGCGCATTCGCCGACAGAGTTACCGTCGCCCCCTCGCACCTCCTTATCTATCCCGCACTTGGCACTCGCCGCCGCCGCTGCCGCCCCTTCGAATTCCCAACTCCCGGAGTCATCGATGAAGAAGAACCGAGCAAAGGGGTTGCAGTGGAAGGAACAAAAACAACAAAACAAAGCAAAAGCAGTGAGAGAAACAACCTTAAAGCCAATTGGGGAATTATGTAATATATTAATTTGATTAATTTATTAATTTTATTATTTTATTAATGTATTATTTTATACATATTATTAATTTATAAAATGTATTATTTTATAAATTTTATTATTTTATAAATTTTATTATTTTATATATTTTATTATTTTATAAATTTTATTATTTTATTAATTTTATTATTTTATAAATTTTATTAATTTATAAATTTTATTATTTTATAGATTTTATTATTTTATAAATTTTATTATTTTATAAATTTTATAAATTTTATTATATTATAAATTTTCTTAGTTTTATTGTTTTATTAATTTTATTATTTTATAAATATGATTAAAATAGTAAAATATTTAATAGAATTATTTTTAACTATATTTACTTTTTTTATACTGTATTTTGTTTATAAAGCCTTTTTTTTATTGCATTTTTTTCAGTGTCCCACCGTGTAATGTAAGGATTTGCGCCGCAACCCGCCGTACTGCGTCGCAGTTGCACATTCAAGAGGCAAAAAAATCGGCCAACAGACGGCCAGCCGGAGGGTTAAAGGTGGAAAGGCTGCCGGGAGGAAGGCGGAAGGTTTATCGAGTCCTGGCAGCCGCACCCTGATCCCAGCCAGATGAGGACGTGTGACCCAAATGCCATTCACTCACTCACTAATCCCAAGACTCGGCAGAAAGCAGAAAAATGCGAAATAAAATCCTTGAAAGTTCGAGCCTAATGTTGGGTAATTTATCAAGCATTTATCATCATCAGAAAAGATTCTTCAATTGCGACTTATCTATTCCCAATGTAAGTGCCCTCGTATATTCATTTCAGATATATTTATTTTAAAGTTCATCCTGTTAACATGCATAAATCAGTGACTTGTTGTCTTTCCTAATTTGGATCAATGACGAAAGCACACCCCTCTGGACAGGGCTATATTTATTGTGGACTTTCATCTTCTGGAAGAAGGGTTGCGCACGGCCTCTGCCTAATTATATCTTTTGCTACCCCTGGGTAAGTGACGAGGTCTTCATTAGGCCTGGCTTGTTTTCATTATTATTATTTTTAAAACAAAGTGAACAGAACCTTGAGCCTGCCCCAAAAACCTTGTGCCTAATCGGGTGATAAATAGGTGCGAGGACATTTTTATCTAAAATGGATTGAGAGGAGTCAATAAAATAGAAGAGTTTAAAGGAAGGATACTGATAACAAATATGTACAATTAGAGTTTAAATATTATTTAGAAAATTAAGAAAACAGAATTTTTACCCCCAAAGGCTTGCATTAAAAAGTAAATAAGTTTCTTAAATCTTTTTATATTTGAACAAATTTTGGTATGTGGGAAGCCAGATAATAATCAAGTTTATATACCAAATTTCATAACCCTAGCTGACAAAGATCCTGAGATCTAAGCTGTAAAATGACTATAAAAAGGAAAATGAGAGGTATTCCCCAACAAATTCCTTCTTAAAAGAATAACTTTTCTCTAAGAAATAAAGTCACAAGTACTGTATATGTTTTTCAAAGTAATGTCCTTGTTTAAAACTTTGTTTCGAGTACAATATTCTCACAGTGAGATGTCTCTGGCCAACTGCCAAGCATCGATAGTTTCTAGCTTTCCGCCATTGTTAGCAAATTGCTGCGACTCACGAATGTAAGTCATTCGTACAATGACACTTTGGGCGTTGGAGACAAAGCCATGTCTCCTGGGTTCCCCTGGGATTCCCCCCCAGATGCTGGGGTGCAAGTGGCATTTGAAAGATGCCATAGATCTCTCCCTCTTTCTCTATGCATCGCTGACAGTTCATGCCGCAGCCAGGCAGCCGAGTGTAGGGCTTTCTCGGTTTGTCAAGTTGCGTAATTTGTTTGCAACTCCAAAACGAGCAAAGCCACCCTACTTGCAGCATTGTGTAAGCGATTTTGGATGACTCGCCGCCGCCGCCTACTTATTTGTTTTATGTTGGATACACCATCCCGTCTCTACCCCAAGCAAAGATCGGAAATGTAAGGCAATGTGCCCCACTGGCGTCCAGTTCGTTGACATTATAATCCCGGCTGTTGCCAAATAAAATAAAAATAGTAGGGAATACAATAAAAATCAAATAAAGCCATGTACAAGAAAGGCTCAAAGATGGTTCAGTGACTCTCTAAGCGGATATGCTGCTTAGTTTTGGATTATTATTATTTTTTTTTTTAAGAGAAAGCCACGCCTTTGGGCAATAATTATAGGGAATAATAAGCTGAATGGTAACCCGAGAAATTGTGGTTGATATTGAATTTCTCCTGATCCCTTGATTTATTTTATTAAAGTAAATAAATATAGCTCAGTTTTTGAATAGAGAAAATCCAATTTAAAAAGTCTAGAATACTTAGTTGAAGATAATTTAATTAAAATAATTCCTAAATTCCCAACTTTAACGAGTCATAAGATCAGTTTTTTGCCAACCTGTTGACTTTCTTCTTCATTTTAAACTCAATTTCCAAGGATAGGTTAGTTTTTCTTAACTTCTGGTTAGCGGTGCTTGGAGCTGATATAACTTATAGATAGTTATAACTACGTCTATAAAGATGCCATCACAAGATGCAGGTGAAGGACAAGATCCACTACGCTCCAGTGAGAACTAAGCTAGGATATCATTTTGGTGTCTGGTTTTTTTTTTATAGAGTTAGTGGAAAAGGTGTTACTTGATACGGTTAGGAGAGTCTCTATATATATTATATGGATTTAGGAAGTGAGTATAGGATAGGTTATATTATTAGCAAATCTGACCTTTGCTGTGGACGCGTCAGAACCGGTGGATGTTTGCCGCTGTAACAGTTTCTAACTGATTAAATTGTCAATTTACGTCTCTACCAAAAGGGGTTCTATCTCACACAGATCGATATAGTTAAGATATAGGGTAGAGGAAAAACAGAGAGTGTCTCTAGCTTTAACTTGATCTTTCTTTTTCTTTTTTTTTTCTTCTGTGGGGATCTTGGTGGGAATGTGAAACAGAAACGGAAACGGAAATGGCATAATGCAGACACAGCGAAACGAAACGAAACACATTCAGTGGATGTAGAAACACACATAGATTTGTGCTGGCAGGGTTTATCACAAATATATTTATGATATATAATATGTTATGTAATTGGTGGAATCATGGAACACACTTACTTGGCGTTTTTCGGTCGTCTTGCATCTATGGGAAAATCATCATCGAAATCCAAATTAAAGTCCTCGCCAAGATCGTGTGGAACTAGTGGTGTCCTCTGGTGGGCAGGACTCGTGTGGTAGCCATCGCCCTGCAGCTGCATGGGATTAACCAAAATGAAATCGGTATTAGTTTTGGATTAAGAGATCAATATGGGTCTTTCTGGGGCTTTACAACAATAAATTGGAATTTTTTATAATACAAAATGTACATGATAGTATATTTATATTTATATAAATTTATGTACAAGGTTAGTCAAAGGGGCTGTAACCGAAATATATATAAAGATTATTTAATTTATTAATTTTAAATGGGGAATCTTTTGGATTTTATTTTTATTTTAATATTTAAATATTTTTAATATACAATTTTATATTTTTTTTTTTACCTTTCTCACAAATTTTTAAAATTTTTTTTGCATTTTTTATTACTTGAAAATTTTTTAAATTTAAATAAATTAAACATTTTTAATTAATTTAATTTAAAAAATTAATTAAATTTTTTCAAATAATGAATTTATTTTTTAATAATTAATTTTTTTTTTAATAATTAAATTTTATTTAAATAATTAAATTTTTTAAATAAATTAAATTTTTTAAATTAATTAAACTTTTTAAATTAATTACATTTTTTTAATTAATTAAATTTGTATAATTAATAACATTTTTTTAATTAATTAAATTTTTTAAATTAATTAAATTTTTTAAATTAATTAAATTTTTTAAATTAATAAAATTTTTTAAATTAATTAAAAATTTTAATTTGTTTTTTTTAAGCAATTTTTGCAACCTTCACAAAGTAAAACAAAAAATTACATATTTCTTAATAAAACAAATCGTTTTTTTAAATAAATCATTTTTTTTAGACTTAAGCAATTCCAATTTATTGCAAGAAAATACTCATAATTTTTTTTTTATCGATAAACGTTTTCGATAACGATATTTGAGAAACTTAAAGACAAGGGCGAATCGGTTACTCGTGCAAGGATTTTTGTTGGCTTAATTTTTTCGGATCCGGTTCAAATTCTTTGGCTAAATAGAAGAAATAATCTTGGAAAAAAACAAATGATTAATCTGTCACGCACACACATACCGATACACACACACACACATATCAACTGTATAGGTCTTAAAAACATATGCAATATTTACAAGCTGTTGTTTTTTTTTTTTTTTTTTTTTGATTTTGATTGACTGATTTCCATATTTACATTTGTTTAGGATTAGTTTTTGTGTGTGTCTTATGTTTTTGGTGAATGAAATGGAAATTTGGGGAAATCAATGAAAAATATTTTTGGATATAAAAGTACATTTTCAGAAGCTTTTTTAAAATTTTATTAGTATGTATTTTACTCTCCAAGATAATATTTTAAAATTAATAAAGAATTTAGAGTTATTTAATTTTTATTTTAAGGCTTTAAGATAAATAATCTGCAATGATTATTAATATTATTTTTTAAATTATTTGTATTTAATATTTGATTTGATGTATGTGGAAATGAGGTGGTGTGTGTTCGATTTGTGATATATTTTGATATATATATTGCATATGAATGGTTAATCCTTGTAGCGAGTATATCGAATAGCCCGTACCTTGACCACAGTGCCGACCTGATTGGATTCGGATGCCGATTGGCGATTATCGAGCAGATTGGCCCGCTCCATGTTATCGAGTTGTAGTGTCTCCCGCGGCTGGTCCAGTAATCGTTCTCGCATCTCATGAATGTAGGGACACCGCTGCATTCCTCTCTCTCTCGCGCCTCGCTATCGATTTCCTCTGCTCTCTTTTACTCGCTCTCTCTCTGCTATCTATCGGATATATCGTTTGTCGTATATCGGCAAATGAATATTGTTTATCGGTTATATGTTGAGGGGATTTCTTTTTTGGGTACTATGCAAAGCTTCTAGGGTTGCTTGGCTTTATACTTGTTAAAGTTGAAAGTTATTGCCCTGCCATTCCTATATATGCGGCCGTATATGCACTTGTATATATATATATATATATATTTCTTTTTTGGTTGTAAGTTAGTATAAAGTTTTCTTAGGGAGGTAATCGCTACAGTACGCTCAAATGTTATAAATCAGTCATACGGTTTGCAGCAGCAGTTGATTATTTGTTCAAGACTTTTGGTTGCGCAATTTTGGTCGTTCTGGAAATAGAGAGAGAAATATTGAAATATATGAAAACTTAGGGAAATTTTTAATTAAAAAATTTTTAAAAAATGTATAGTAATAAATATTAACAAACTTAAAAAAAATATATTTAGAATGCTTCATAAATCAGTGGCGGTTTAAATACATTTTTCGAGGTGTCTAAAAGTATGCAATAATATTTTTAAAGTACCAAGTTAAATGAAAATGAAATAATTGAAGGGTTTTTAAACCCCTAGGAATTTCTGAAGATATAAAGATACATTTAGTTTTTATATTTTATTCTTTCAATAGCTTTTTTAAGCTTTTTAAAATTTTATTTAATTATATTTCAAAATTTTCCCCTAAAGTTAAACATATTTTCAACAAAAATATGTATTTATTCAGCCCAGAAAAAACGCTTTATGCCCATTTATTTTATGCATTTATTTTCCAATTCGTGCCAAATATGGGCCAGCATAGTGATCGAAGCGTTTCGCATTGCCTGGCTTTTGTTATGATACGCATTCCCAAAAATATTTACAGGGGCATGAAAAAAGGGGGCCAAGCATAGTATAGTGGCACACACACGACCTCTGATTCTATTTTCCCCAAGCGCAAAAACATAAACAATATTGAATTATATATTTTGCAACATGCAATTGCTGTCAATTATGTATAGTTTTATATATAGTGGCTTTCCCAGAATCTGGATAAGGCTGAAGATATCTTTTAGAGCAATTGAAAGTAAAGAGAATTTTCCCAGCTACCCTCATCAATCTGTCAAGATACACCCGGATGGCTTCTACTTGGCACACATCCATCAGCATCGGACATCATAGTCGTAATCATCATCACCATCTTCATCATCACGACGGGAGGGTCATAAAAATCGCGCTAGTTTTTTCTTCTGGAATTTCCACTTGTTGCTGCTCAAGGGCGTCGCGGCTGATGGGGAAGGAGGTTCATATAAATTTATTTTTAATTTTAAAGCAAATTTTGATGTTCTTGATTGAACCAAATATTTGTTTGGAATTTGGCAAGAACAAAAATCATAAAAATTCTAATATTCCGTTACGCCTCCGGACAATGCAAGTTTCCAAGTTTCCAATTGAAGGAAACTTTTATATGGACTTTGGATATTTGATGGCAAAGTTGCATGCTTATTGAACATAATTTAAAGGTTACTCTTGAGGGGATTCTTGGGATATTATAAATTATATATATTTTATTAAAATTATATTTAAAAAAATATTTTTAAAATATCTACATTTGCAAGAAATTTATGCTGCACAAAAAGTAAACATAAATTTAAAGGCAAAGTTAACATATTTTGTAAAATTAATTATTGAGAAAAAGAATCCTTGAATTTAATTTATGTATATTTCATTTAATTATTTAATTTTAATATTTTTTAATTCATATTTTGTATGACTGTATTATTATCTTGTGCCAAGAATTAGATATTGATAATAATTTAATTTGGCAAGTTACAAAATTCATTAACTAATTGTCTTAAAAGCTTTCGGAAACGCTATAAATTATGAACATATTTAAATATATTTGAATATAAAAAAAAAATTTTTAATGCAACTATATTTATATATATTTTATTATAAAATAATCGGAATGCAATAATATTTAAATATATTATGCAAAAAGAATTCTGATTGCAGCAATTAACTCATTTTTCATTTTTCATAGGCATCTTATTCTAATAATAGAAAAATCTTAAGCTTTTAATTTAAAATATATAATAAATAATAAATATTTTATATAATATTTATTTATAAAATATTTATCATTAATTAGCACAATTTTTTATTAATCAAAATTATATTTTAAAATATTTTAATAAACAAATAAATTATCTAGCAATATATTTACAAGCTCAAAAGTACAACTTTAAATTATATTTCTAAATATTTCAGAAAATAGGAATCTCAAAATTCTGCCAAAGAACTTGATCGATTCTTGGCTAAGCGGGTCAAGTTAACGATTAGCGAGCGTTTCAATTCATTTTGGTTGCATTTTGTTTCGCTTTTCGTTTCGTTTCTTTTCGATTGTTGCCAATAATGTTTGTTGCACTGACCAAAAAAAGTAGCTAGCTATGCTTAGCTTTGGCCAATTAACAGCATTGGGTTAGTTTTTGCGCCGGTTTCGCGAGTGTGGGGAGGTGTTAGCCATCAAATGTTAATGGTATTAGCCAAGCTTTCAATTTGCGAGACTGTGTTGGTTGTTTCAACCAGAACATGCGACAATTCTGGCCATGGAACAGAGCAGAAACAGAATCAAGAAAAAAAAATACAGAAAAAACCTACATAAAAAATGTAGAAACAAAAAAAGAAACTAGAGAAAAAACAGTAGCAACGTTGGCCTTTTATGACCGCCGACATTGCCTTAATACGCTCTAAGATGGGTCTTGTTTTTATTTTAGTTTTTACAGCTGCTAAAAAGCTTCTGTTTTTCTTATTTTTTTTATATATATTTTAAAGATGATTTCAAGACAACCTAATGGTGTCTGCAAAAAAGCCTCGTAAACTCAAATAAAACCACAGCTGAAGTTTATCTTGGTTAGGTGAAGGGAAGAACTTGTATTTTTATTTTTTTATAATTTTTTTTATGGCTGGGAACTTGGTTAACTAGAGTCAGTTTTATTTTATAATTAAAGAGGAAAGGAAGCTGACTTCAAGAAGCTTTATTTATGCTTAAGGAATGTCATTTCATTTATAAGATACCAAATATAAAATATACTTCATATATAAATAAAGCTTAAATAAAATAATAGTAATAAATAAAGCTTAAATAAAATAATAATAATAAATCAATTTAAAATATATATAATAAATATTATATATTTACTTAACTTAATAATATCTTAAATAATAATATTAATAAATAATATCAAAAAATCTACCTCAAGTATCAATATCTTGTTCTTATTTTAAGCATAGTAAAGCATAGTTTTTCCTCTTTAATCGAAGCTACACTTATAAAAATATTTTTCTGTATTAAAAAAAATTTTTTTTAATCTAAAAACAATCGCCCTAAAACTTAGGACATTTTTTTTACAATGAAGAAAAAAGTTTTCTTGAATTAAAGGCACCTCTAGGATCAAGACAGGACACCACTTTTTAATTTAATTTTAATTTAATACATTTTTTTTGTTATTATTTTTTTAATTTTAATTTTTCTATTTTTTTAAATTTAGGGTTTAATTCGCTTTGTTTACTTTCTTCTTAAGGGAAATTTTCACATATTTTGCTGGTCAACTTTTCATAAAAACCTTGGCGAAATAAAATATCGTTGAGAAAAATCTCACACTTATAATTTCCAACTGGTTTTAACATTCCTGGTATGAAGTGACGGGTACCGGCCTTAGGATTAGCCAATAGTGAACACATGTGTTGTGGTGTGTTTATGTTTTAACACACTTATGTGTCATTACATGTGCTATTACACAGTTCCTTACCCTAAAAGCTAAGCCTCTATACTATAAGAGTAGGAGTAGTCAAAAATATTTACGAGTCTATGGAAACATGAGTGCAGTTGGTTGCGTTTTGTTGCTCTGCTTCTTGTTTTTTTTTTGTAAACAAAAACTGTGCCACTGGAATTGGTTTGGGAGATCAACGGTGTGATGAGATGACGCTGCATACGATGTGGCCACTTTATGACAGTCTCCGATGACAGACAGCAGACGGATAATGCCCTGCCACCACCCTGCCCCCCATAAAACCACCTCTCCACAAGCCCCGCCCACAAAAACAAAAAAAGACAGAAGCTCAGTGGATCGCGGAGAAAAACAAAAGGAAACACACCGCAGAAAATGATACAAAAAGAAATAAAAGTGAAAATGGGGATAGGAAAATCTGATCTATGCAGATCCATGAATATCCACCGAGATGGGAGACGGCGCCCACATTGAGAACCGGATATGCAATTGTATACTGAAAAGAAAGAATGCCAAACTGGGAGAATCCGAATCGGAATCGAAATGGAAATGGAAATGGTTGTGGAAATGGAAACGACCAAAGGGGGCGGGGAATGGGATGGAAATGAGCATGAGAACTGGCGGCGACAGATGGATGCAATCCGTGAAATAGGGTGACCTTATAAACAAAACATAGACTGTGGTCTGCTGTTTGGCACTCAAAGAAAAAAGGGCTTTTAAGGAAATATATATATAACTTTATTGTTTTGGTGTTTATAATAGTTAAAAATATGTATTTTTCTTATGTTTATAATATTTAAAAAAATATAATAAATATATATTTTTGTTGTTGTTTATAAAAGTTAAATTTCCCCGTTTATCTATTACTTTTTTTTTTATCAAAAACGTATCTAAACTAATACTTTTTAAGGCTCTCTGAATTGCTTGGTCATTTTTTTATAGTTTTTGAATTTTTTTTAGATTTATTTAAATATATAAAAATGTATTTATAATTATGAAACTATGACACTAATGACATAAATTTGTATCCTTAAAAATTAAATCAAAATTTTCCAGATTTCCCCCTTTTACCAAGTCCATTTAGCTTGGGTTTTTTTTCTTTACTTTTTCTTAATGACAGACTTCCATAAAAGGTAGCAATTAAATGCTGAGTGCGTGATGCACTATGGGTTACTTTTTTTTGTGCTGAATGGTGGGTGGGTTCACCACCCACTCCCCCATAGTCTTTCTGTCCGTCAGGGAGCTGTCCATCCCCCGGAGGTCGTCGGCTCATTAGTTAATATATGCTCTGGCACACGATACTCACTCTCGCATGCAGAATATGCATTCCGCTTTGTTGTGTTTTTCGTGTTTTGTTTTCGGTTTTGATCCTGTTTTCCATATTTTATGCTGTGTCCAGTGCCACCCCCGTCACCACATCATCATCATCAGCAGCAGCAGCACCCACCCACCCATCGAACTAAGAACTAACCACCGCTGGAAATCGCGTGTCGCGGTTTCAACCCTCGCGAATGCTTTTCCGGATTTTGTTCCCCTTGGAATCCCAACATTTGCGTCGATTTTTTCTAGGAATATATTTATGCTTAGATCGATATAAATCGCGCAAAATAAATGACAACATTTTATCGATTTTTTATTTATGCGATAAATTCTCTTTGTTTGAAATCGAAATAATAATCAGAAATAACTGATAGAAATACAAGGATTATGCATATATTTTTGATATTAAACGATGGGAGATATTATAAATTAATCGATAAAAACCGATAGATTGTTAGTTTGTTTGAAATATGTGCTTAACTCGTTAGTATTCAATCAGAATCATAGAAAATAAATTGATTAAAGTTTACCTAGACTTAAAAAAATTATAAAAATCGATTTATATCGATTTTCGAAATCGATAACATCTAAAATGTTATATCAACGACAAATAATCTCAAAATTATGTCCGCCTCTGATGATGATCGACCATGACAATGTGAAAGTATAAGTATTATGTGAAAAACAATTCTGCTGGCAATGATTCACTGTTAGTAATAAGTTATTTAGTTATGGAAGTGAATCACGAGATCAAATCAATGAACAAAATTAAATATACATGAGGGTTACTCGAGAAGGAAACTAAAACATAAAATATAAATATATACAAATCTCTAGAACTTGTATTAAATTTTTGAATAAGTTCAGTGACTCACTAGATCTCAATTGTTGGAATTACTAAAGTAGAGATGACAAAGATCTGAGATTAGGTTCTAGACTGAAACCTATAAAATCAAGTTCCCACAAGATGAAGTCATTTTCTAGCTATATAGCTCTGCCCCAAGATTGTGCGATCAGTGAGGATTATTGGTGGTGCCAAGGGTGACCCAATTCTGGATACCATGATTCTGTTACTTCTGCCAGATATATCCGCCCGCTTTTATTTTTTTTTTTTTGTGCTTCTTTGTGCCTCTTGTGCAATTAAGATTTTCCCTAGCGAGCACTTCTATGGGTTTTCCTTGGGCCCAAGAAGAAGGTAGCGAAATCCGAAAAAGGAAAAAAATATATGAAAAAAAACCCCGCGACGCCAATGTCTTTCTAATGGAAGACCAAGAAATGTGTGTGTTGGTAACCCGAGAAGGGCAGCCGCCAGTTTGATTGCTTTAGAGAGTGTTCAGGGGGGGGAGAGGTTGGAGGGGCGTTTGGGGGATCATCAAAGAGCTTAGTTACAGTGGAACCACAGAAATATATAAGGTATCTTTGACAAACCTTACCAACTCCTAAGGCATTAGTCATTTTTTTTTAGGTAATCTCATTTGGGAAAGTTGGTAAATTAAAGGTAAATCTTAATTTTAAAAATCTTTAATTTTAGTTTAAAATTATATTTGAAATGAGAATATTTATTTTAAAAAGTTTTAGTTACATTTTAATTGAGAATATTCAATTACATAAAAAACTTTGCCCTCTCGGGGTTTTAACTTGTCTATTTTGAGGTGTTTTTTGAAGTTTAATGTGAAATATGCGCTGTTTTTCTTAGGAAAATTCATCAAAAGCAAGTCAGACTGCTTTTCGATTGGATTTATGTCATATTTCAGGTGTGATGTTATACTGTTATACGCTGTTATACACGAATTGGTACAATATGTATAAATTTTTTAAAATACATTTAAAAATATAACAACAAAAAAAATTAATTAATAATAAAAAAAATAATTAATAATAAATAAAAAAAAATAATATAAAAACTAATAAATAAATAATAATTAATACAAAAATAAAATAATAATAAATTAAAATATATAAAAAAAAAAAATAAATAAATAAAAAATAAATAAATAAAAAAAATAAATAAATAAAAAAATGAAACAAAATAAAAATAAAGCAAAATAAAATAAATTAAAATCAAAAAATAAAACAAAAAATAATTAAATAAAATAAAATAATATAAAATAAAATAATACAAAAAATATAATGAAATAAAATAAAATAATGTAAAATAAAATAAAAAATAATAAATAATTGAAAATAAAAATAAAACAAAAATATAATAAAATAAAATAAGACAAAAACAAAATAAAACAAAATTAAATTAAATATTTAAAATAAATCAAAATAAAATATTATATAAAATTAAATTACACCTAACTGGTCATTAAAATCTAAGTTTACCTTAATTTATGGATAAGTTAAGATCCTATAGGAACCATAGGAACCCTCACTTGACTTACTTTTTTTTCTTGTTATTGAGGATTTATCCTGCCATTCAGCTCATCGGCGTTTCCCTTTCGAGTCGCTTTATTATCCTTTTTTCGCCTTTCGGTCTCTTCCCCTGTCCTGGTTTCTTTTCCTTTGTTTTGTTTCCGCCTCGCGAGGAAGAAGAACAAGAAGATGGTGGGCGGGGGGGCGTGGTGGCGTCTGTTGCGCGCGCGTTTATACCGTTATGCGTTTTACGGTTTGTTTGATGTTTCTTTATTGTGTTTTTTTTTCTTATATTTTTTTCCTTTTTTTTTTTGTTCTTTATATTTGTTACTTGCTATTGTTGTTGTTATAGGGTCCTGGTTTTGTTAACAAAATAGAATTTGTTGATTGACTTCACCGGAAACAGGCTCACACACACACACACGCACTGAGCCAGCCAGGAAACGCACACAAAACACGCACACAATCAAGCAGTGCAGACAAAATGGACGACGCACTTCTCCATAAACAAACAAAAAAAAATATATATGCAAAAAAACTTTAACGTGATTGGCACTTTTCCTTCTTCTGTTTTTTATTATTATTTATTTCGTTCACTGCACAACAAAAAAAATAGGCAAGGGCAAGAGAAAATTAAATAAAATGCAAGCAATTACAGCAACAAATAGCCAAGAATAATAGCAATTACTAAAAGCAATTCTACAAAAAATGCAACTTGGTTGTTGCTAAAACTGGCTTTAAAGCCGCTTGAGGGAGAAATGCGAAACAAACATTCCAGCGAACTGCTATTATTCCCGTTGGAAGATGAGTTTCCGATCTCAATCTTGTATTTATCAATTAGCCTTTGCTTTTATTATTATTTAGTTGGCAAAAGCGCATTATTATTATTGGTTAGAAACAAAAAAAAAAAAAAAGGGCACCGGTCTGAAGTGGCAGCACTGGCTTCCATCACTCGCAACAGTTCGCTTCTGACTGAAAGTCCAACGCAAAAGCGGAAACTCGAACGCCGAACGCAAAGCAAAAACCAAATGACTGGAAAGACAGCGACGTACAGTGGGTTAGAGTCCTTGATTTTGAAAAAGATTTGTTTATAGTTTTTATAAAAAATATATTTTTGTTTATACGATTAAGTTTTTTTTGGGTTAGGAATACAGCTTTTAACAAAATGTAAATATGTTTAAATAATATTAATTATTTTTAAATAATTCTAATTAATATTATTTCATAAATAATAATGAATTAATATTAATATATTAATTCTTAGCCAGGTTCTGTTTATTCTTAGGCATTATTTGAGCAATTTTCTAAATTACATTCTTGTTTTATTATTAAAAAATTAAAAAAGAAATTACTAACTAAAAATTTAAAATTCATAAAATTCCTTATTTAGAAAAGATACAACCTTCCTATTAAGAAAATGATTAAAAATATATAAAATTAAATTAGATACATCTTTCTTAGTGGGACTAGAAAGATATAAAATATTCATATATTAAACAAGTAAACAGCCATTTTAGCATTTTCACAGAAACACTGAATTTTTGTTCGTTTGTAATTTATTATTTTTTTTATTATTATTTCATATATATATATATATTTTTTTTTAATTAAAAATTTGTATTTTATTAATTTAATTTAATTTAATTTTTTTTAGATATTATTTTAAATATTTTTGTTATATTTAAAATCTCATTATTTTCCCTTTTCTTAAATTTATTGCTTTAATTAGCTTTTTTCACCCCCCAAAAATAGCTCATAATTTTCAATGTGCTTTATTCCCACTGTGCGAAGCTGCGACGCTGCGGCGCAGTCGACGCAGGGCCAGAACAACATTAGTATGCTTGTATACCGTAAGCGCTTACGATATTCGTGCCGTTAAAGTCTCTGTCTGTTGCTTCTTGTTGTTGTTACCGTTGCTGTTGCTTTTGTTTTTGTTTTTATTCCTTGCAGACAACATGGATTAATTATTATTAATTTTAAATTATTATTATTATGTATATATAATTATTATTTAGTAGAAAAAGTCACAACTATTTGTTTTTTGTGTACCTTCTACCAGTTTTTGTTGCGGCTTCTTTCTCCCCCTTTGCCACCCATTATTCGTTGCACACGACGTTCGTTTGCGAATTGTAAGGCCAAAACGGGGGAAGTGATAATAGCCAAAATATCTCGTTAAAAAGCACGTGAATAAAGGCAAAATGCCTATGCGACAGATTGAATAATTAAGCGAAACGCGAAAGCAATAAATATTAAGAAATTAGAGGGTTAAAAACCGTAAAAGCCATGATTTCTTGCATTTATTTTATTGGTAAAAAAAAAAGAAGTTACGAATTTTTTAACATATTAAAAAGTAGCACGGAATCTAAAATTATGCATTTTAGGCCAAACAAAAAAAATAATATAAAATATCGATATATATAAAAAAAATCAATAAATAATTTTAAAAAAAATCAATAAATAATTTAAAAAAAAATCAATAAATAATTAAAAAAAAATCATTTTAAAAAATAATTTAATAAAATAAATAATTCAAAAAATAATTATTTCAAAAAATAAATAATTCAAAAAATAATAATTAAAAAATCTATATATATATAAAAAAATCAATAAATAAATAAATTATTAAAAAAAAATAATTTAAAAAAAAATAATTTAAAAAAAAATAATTAAAAAAAAATAATTTAAAAAAATAAATAATAAAAAAATTAAATAATTAAACAAATAAATAAATAAAAAAATTAATAATTAAAACAAATAAATAATTAAAAAAATAAATAATTAAAAAAATAAATAACTAAAAAAATAAATAATTACAAAAATAAATAATTACAAAAATAAATAATTAAAAAAAAAATAATTTAAAGAAAATAAATAATTAAAAAAAAAAAAATAATAATTAACAAAAAAAATTCCACTCGCTTGACACTATAATTCCCAACTAGTTCTAGCATCTTCAGAGTGGTAACCCAGCTGAGTGTTGAGCTCGAGTGGTAGATGTAGTGCGGTGGTGTGGCTGTCCTTTTTCTTAAAAGAGTTGCTTGTTGTTGTGTTTCAGTGTATCCTCTCTTTCTCTCTACGGGATTACGAGAAAACGAGCAGATATTCACCGGAGAGACTTTAAGATCAGAGAAAAATCAAGGAGAGCGACCCAGACAAATGTGAGTACACAAAATTATATTTATTTTTAGCTTTAAGATCTCTTTAATCTTAATATTAAATTTAAGTTAGACATTTTTATTGGGCACCAAATACATATGGAATCTTAATGCTCCTATTGCAAACTTCAAGGATATAGAAATTTTGGTTTCCCTAAGTTAATATCCTTTGCTGTTTATTTAAAAGTAAGTCAAAAATCTTTAAAAATATATATTTTTTTTAAGTTGTGATAATTCTTATCAGTTGCCTGACTATAACTACAAGTAGATTCTTCTTTATTATTAAAAAAATCCCCTAGAAAGTTAAATTGAAAAGAATTCTTGCCATAAAAACCCATTCGACTTAGCCCTCCTTTGCCTTACCAATCCCACTGGACTAAAAGCTAATTGCTGAATTAGAAAGGACTTGCAGGGGGCTCCCAACCCAGCCCAAAGACTGCATCTATTGTTGCCGCCTGGCTTGTCCCCTTGTCCGGCTCGGTAATCAGATTATCGCCCATCGGATCGCCATCAAGGGACCTGGCCAACTCCCTCGAGAGCCGCATGCACTAATGGGCCATGAGAGGTGTGACTGCTTTGGACAGGGTTCGAGGAAGGAAGTCCAGTCCAGTCCAAGTCGAAGTTCTGCCAAGATGCACTCTCAACAGCCAAGGCGTTGACACAAAAATATAAAAAACTTTCCCGGGGGTGAGGCGAGGGCGGGGGGGGGGGGTGTGTGTGTGTGTGCTGCGAAAAGAGGAGTGGCAGTGGGCGCGGCGCATGCGTTCGAGTCCTGCCAAAGGACATTCACCTCTGGGCTTCGGTTTTGCCGCCAAACGGGGTGCATTTATGTGTATGCGAACCACTCGTATTTGTATCTAATTGCAGGCGCGCCCACTCTCAACATCAAATATAAAGGGAAAACTTATGGAAAATAAACATAAAATAACAGCAGGGAGTCCTAGGGAAAATGTATGAAAAAGGCCTAATTGAATTAAGGAAATAAGACATAAAATTTGTATAGGTAATAGGGAGAGAGGCTTGTTTTGAGAGGATCTTGTATCTGCAGCTTAAATCTAGCTGTCTTATGTATTTATGCTATATGTATTTATTCTTTATACTATATTTCCTATGCTGTATACATTTCCCATTTCCCGCTGTGCGTGTAAGCTTGTATTTCGGAGCAAAGCTAACCTAGTTTTCGGTTGGCCAGGGCGTGGTTCAAATCCCGGATAACCGGTCGGTACGCCTGTCCCCGGGTACATAGCCCCGGATACGTGGAATTCAGAGAAACATCTATATATATATATATATTATAGGTGGAGAACAACACAGCATCCACAGGCAGACTGCAGTGGAAATCAGGGGCATATCAAACAGCATCCACATAGCCTCAGAGAGATAGAGAGAGAGAAAGTATGAGGGAGAAAGATAGAGTCCATGGCGGGGAAATCTCCTTAGTTTGTCCCGCTCCATCGAGGTGCACGCACTTTTGGGTGAAAAGGACAGATACACACATTCCCTCCCAATAAAAGTACAGTGAATGTTTGGTATAGGTAACCAAAAGCAATGTTTTATGGAGAAAATAGTATAAAAAAAAAGAGGATAATGTCTCAATTAATTAAAAATATATATTTAAAAATTGTTAATTTTATTTTTAATTAAAAAAAAAAAAATTATTTTAAATTAAAATTAAATTAACTAAAAAAAATATATTTAAAGTTTGCTTTTATGGGGAAAATAATAAAAGAAAAGAGCAAAATGTCTCAGTTAAATTAAAAAATATATATTTTAAAAGTTTGCTACTGTATTTTTAATCTAGAAAAAAAAAATTGGATTTAAAAAAAATTAAATTTCTTTAAAAAAATATATTTAAATCTTCTCTTTTTTATTTTTAATCTATAAAAACATTTTTTTATTTTAAATAAAAATTAATTTAATTTAAAAAATTAATTTCAAGTTTGCTAATTTTATTTTTAATACAGAAAAAAAATATTTTGAATAAAATTATTTAAATAAAAAAATTTTTATTAAAATTTAAAAATTGCTAATTTTATTTTTAATCTAGAAAAAAAGTCCCGCATACCAGAAATTATTATAATTGACTAATAAATAAAATATACAGATATAGTTTTCTATAGTTCTCTTTGCTTAATCTTCACTGTACTGCGAACTGCGAGTAACTTTTGGAGGGCTTCAGCACTGTATCTGTATCCGTATCCGTGAGTGCGTGTATCTGCTCCTGCGCCCATGTTCCCCAGCCTGAGATACAGATTCAAAAAAAGAGGGGCTCTCCGTTTCTTCTTCGAAGAAACCCCCCTTGATGGCAGCTCCTCTTGAAGACCCCACCCTGAGGCCCCAATCTTAGTGGAACTATCTCGGTGTCTTGACCCATTTACCCAATAAAAAAAAAACACCAAAAGGCAGCAACATTTTCCATAGTAATCGAATTACGTTTCAATTTATTAATCATATTTATTGCATATTTACTGCTCTTTTATAGTCATTATAGTTTTTTTTTTTTTTTTTTATTATTATTTTGTATTTTCTTATGGGTGGTGGTGTATTTGCTGGGGAACACAGAACATTGACGACTAGTTGTTATTTTTGTGGATTTTTTACGGGTGTTTAACTTTATCTTCATAGCCATTATTGTAAATACATATAAATACTTGTAACACTTAATACAAACTGCTTTTCCTAGGCTTAGTCCAAGTTGTATTTGTTTTTAGTATTATTCGGGGGGGAAATTTAAGGAAAGTTTTAAGGGAAGTTTAAGGGAAGTTTAAGGGAAGTTTTAAGGGAAGTTTTAAGGGAAGTTTAAGGGAATTATAGAGGAATTTTAGAGGTAAATTTAAAGGCTAAATATGAACTTTCTCGTCTGTATTTATCAGAAAGAAATATATAGTTTTTAAAGTTGATAGAAATCTGAAAAAGAAACTGCAACAGTTTGCCTGAAATATAGGAAATACTATCCTTAATCTAAAGCTACATCATGAATATATATCTGCAGATATTCCTAAAGAATATCTGAATAATTTCTAAATAGAGGACTCTTGGTTTTTAAATGTAAGAAAAATAGTTGAAATATTTTAGAAGGTGAAACCTTGGAAAAGTAAAGGAATGACTTGTAGAGTTTTAAAAAAGTTGGCTAAAGAAGACCTATCGATAACAGACGATGAAATGAGTCCCACAATTGTTACATTTATTTTGATTTTCCTTTTTGTTTTTTTACTGAGTAATAAGAACAAATAATGTTTTGGGTATAACTTGCATATTTCTTTTCGTTTTTCGTTATCATTTTCGCTTTCTTTAATCTCTTTTGTTCTATCGGTTTTTGGGTTTTTGTTTGTTATCGTATTTTATCGGTTTCTACGTGGAATAGGAGTTCCTCTAATGAGACTTCGATAACTATGGCTCATTGTAACTACTTAGTTTCCCATAAATTCTAATACAATCGGGCTGTAAATATATATATATATATATATTCAATATTAAATTTTGATTTTGGATTCAATTTGATTTCGATTTCTTTGTTTTTTTTTTTTTTTTTTTGTTTTTTTTAGAGCAGTGTCCGAGTCGGTGTACAATATATAAATACATATAAGAAAATGCATATAAAGTTTACAGTTAATTCTAGTTAAAAATTTAGTACGAGTATAAAATTGAAATAACTAATTTAATTTAAATATATTTTTTATATATATAATATACTTGTTTTTATTTGCTCTTTTTAACTCCTTTTGACTCCTTGATTTCTTCTTGTTTCGTTTTTGGCATTTTTTACTTAACTTTTGTTTTTTTTTTTTTTTTTTTGAATATACAATGGATGAGTGAGTAGATTCAAATGAAAAACCCAATCTCGTGACAATCATATAACATAGGCTACGTAAAGAACTCTTTGGCATTGAAAAATATCGTCATCTATATCCTAGATACCTTATATATACCATTATGGTATGACTATATATAAAAAAAAAGAACACACATTCATATTCATATTCATATTCATTTATATCTCCTTAAAATTTTACTCTTGTGCGTGTCTTACAGTAAGTGATTTCCTTTCCAATATCTGATTTGTCTTTCTTCTAGTTTTTCTTTTGTTTTGTTTTTTTTGTTTGAGCCTTTCTAATACTGAATTAGATGTTGTATGGGTAAACAAGCACAAAACACAAACGCTGCCTATCACAATAATATAAAATATATAAGAAAATGGGGAAGGAAACAAGGTTCCTAACAACACCGAAGATCACCTACGGCTGCTTCAACAGATTTCGCTTAATGATCAACGTAATATCTCAACAATAATTATATAATGGGGAAAAAGGATACTCATCGAATGTCTACATTATAATGGAGTGAGTATATATATGTTTTTTTTTTTTTGTTTTTTTATAACCTTAGGTGCTAGGCTGTGAGTGTTTGAATGTGTCAACTGTCTACTTGGTAGTCCAGTGTGGGTTTTATGCGGTTCCTGGTGGGGTTCAAATGACTTCTCCTTCTCTTACGATTTCACTTTCAAGTAAATATCCTTTATCCTGGCTTTAGCTGATCTTTAGTTTAACAACCCGCTGATTCTTACTCAGTTTCAGTTCTATATAGTGTGTATATAAACATATAAAATGCTTTTCATAGCAAAGCCTAACCCTTTTTTTTTCGATATATTCTTGAATTTTGGCTTAACTTTCCTTTAGTATATGAGGGATGCTGAACATGAATACTCTCTACAAATAACTGGCATATCCTTTAGAGTGATGTTTTCTGCCTAAATCCTGAAAGGATACCCACTAATGCTGTATTGCTTGTATAACTCTCGCTCTAAATATCCTTTCTATATCTCTTTTTTTGTCGGGATATGTCTTTAAAAGGGGCTTGTGTCTAGGGATGCGCTGGTTCGTTTTCTGGGTGGTGTCTCTAATGGTGGGTGATGGTGGTTATGTCCTAGACAAAGCTGAGCTCATGGCCACTGAGGGCATCAATGAACTCAAAATGCGCGTAAACTCATTCGCCATTGATCACGTAAACCGGACAGAAGGCCTTCTCCGTATTCAGAGATTGCGGCGACAGCGCCCGGATGGGTGCCCTCAAACCCTGACACCTGTCGCCGCCTAGCTCCCCTTCTTCCTCTTGTTGTACAGCTTCTGCTCCTGCTCCACCTTCAGCTGAATTACTCTCCCCACTGTCCACCTCCTCGACGGTCTCCAGTTCACCGCCCGCCAGCGTTGTAGAGCAATAGCAGTAGGACAAATTCGTTTTGAGATCCTCACAAAATTGATGCTGCTGCGCAATGCTTTGGATGCGCGAGCGGGCAAACTCTCACATATACGTTGGCTTTAGCTTATAGGCCCGCTTCCAGATCTCGCACAAGCAAACTGTCGAATGGAAACGATAGAATATAGCCAATGGCATCGATACATGCGTTATGATTGTCCAGGCCCACAGCCCATAAAAGTTCAATTGTATGGGATGGGATTCTGCTCGTGATTTCTCCAACGTGCTAATCGCCCACATGGCCAGATTGACCACCAGCATAAAGGTGACTATCTCCCGTCCTGGCTTCTTTCTTATATGCTCTGGACTAACAGCCTGTCGACGGCTGGCATCCAATATAAACATTGTCTGGCAGGCAGTTTGAACAATCGAAGCCAAGGCATTAATGGGTACCAGCATATCATCGCTGCGCAGCGTAAAGTGTCCGGCAATTACGGTAAAGATATTATACAGAAACGAACCCGTTTGAGCACCCACCAATAGTATATCATCCAGGGAGAAGCTTCTGTAGGCATCATACTGCAAATGCCGGATCTGTATCATGCCCAGCAATGTGGCAATTGTGGCTGTGCCATAAATAAGCAACTCACAAATGGTCACCTCCGTCACGGCCATGGCCACAAATTCGGGTCGCGAAATCAAAACAAAGAAAATAATCAGTGAGATGATGGTCAGCACTAGGATGAGAATGCCCACAAACAGACCCTTGTGGGCGCGGGCACAGTCCACCGAATAATGATGCGGCGAACGCTTCATCGGTGAGCTAATCATGTCCGGACGTTGAGGTGTATTCGGTGTCTGTGGTCGGGAGATGCTGCGCCACATCACATACAGTATGGCGGCACAGATCAGCGAGTACTCAATAGTGCAGGGAAATAGAAATGGAGAGGCATCCTGCACCAAAGTACCAATGATGTTTGTTCGGCGGCACTCAAAAATCTGATAGGGTCCCTTGAGCCCGCGGGGCACTCTCAAATGCGCCGTTGGATCATGCGGTATGATGGCATGACCACGCGAGTGTCCTGGTATCCTATGCGAAATCCTCAACGTACGATTCTCCGGATTGTAAAAGGTCAAAATCTCATGCTTTGTCTCCTGAATGAGGACATTCAGCCATACGGCCAGATTGGTCCCGATCATGTGCATCAGGCCGAAGCGTGCGATAATCTTGTAGCGATACACCTTGATCTGTTCGTTGTTCAGGAAAATGAAGTACATCTGGATGAAGATGAAGGCCATTCGGGTGGCCGGTGTCAGGGCCAGCAGCACATTGTGGCATTTGGTATCCGGATTGAGCTCAAAGTACTGGCCAAACTCCAGGCCCGAATAGATCATGCTGCCAATACCAAAGGCTGCACGGGGGAGGGGAAAAAGTGTATATAGGGTTAGTATAACCTAGATTCTTGCCAGGATTTGGTGGTCACAACACTTACCCACAGCCCCCATGCGTAGGTAGAAGCTGCCATAGTGATGCTGCCTGCCCAGGGGGGAGAGCAGCGAGGGTCGCCGCACTGGTATTGCCGGTGGCAGGCGGCGATGCACCGAGTTGCTATCCGTGTCCGATTCATCCATGCTGTCCGTGCCACTGGCCTTGGTCGTCGATTTGTTGGGAGAGGTGGCTACGGGGGGTAGGAATTTAGAATTTAATTTATCATTTATTATAATATTAATATTAATATTAATTTATTAAGAAATCCCTTAGAGCCTTACCTATGGGCACTGGCAACTTGGGTCGTCCCCAGAGCAGGGTGGCGTACATAAAGAGCAGGAAAATCATGCTGCCTATGTACAAGTACAAATAGTACACCTAATGGGTGGAAAAGTAAATGAATTTTAGCATTAGTACATATTTTGTTAGGGTTTTCCCTTAGCATTCAAACTCACCTCATAGAAGGATGGCGGAATATAGGTGGAAATGACCTCGGCCATGGGAAAGGCTATGCCCATAACCACCAAAAGTTTGCCATAAAGTGCAGAGAATAAGGTGGCCAAGGCATCGCCGCTATGAAATATAAATTTAAAAAAAAAATTAAGGAAAAATAGTATTATTAAATAATTAAAATCAAAAAGAAAAGCTGGTTTATGTTAAATTTTTAGGTAAGAAATTTCGCAGTAAATTTTTTATTCATTTTTAGGCTTCCTTCAACTATATTATTAAAAAATAAAAAATATTATAAATATTAAATAATATTTTAAAATAAAAAATAATATTTTATTATATTATTTAATAAATAAATAATATATATATAATAATATATATCGATATATGGATAATTAGTGGGTTCAAAGTCCACAAAAATAATTTATTCAAATAAATATATTTATAAAATCAGTTAAAATTTGAAACAGAATTATATTAAAAGAATTCTTCAAATATGATAAGTTTTTAATTATGAGTTAATTTAAATTAAATTAAATGAACTTCCGGAAATCAAAGTTTATAGCTAAAAACAAGCAAATCAAGAAATCGCTTTACTTACGCCTTGACCCTCGGCATTGGCGGATACACAAAGGATGGCCGGTGGGTGCGCTTGATGGCCGGCAGCACCGGATAGTTGGTCAGCTGGTGCGAGTGATACATCAATGCCAGCTGCCCCTCCTCCCGCTGGCTACCCAGGCCACCGCCTCCTCCTGGCTGTGAGCTACTGCCTCCTGGCGATGAGGGGGGATCAGAGCTATCGCCACCGCCACCGCCTCCGCGTCCAATATCCCGATCGCCATCACCCTCACCGGTGCCCACGATCAGGCCACTGGGTCCTGGTGTCTCCTGGATGCTGCTCTTGTGCGGCAAACTCGACTCATCGATGGTCACATGATGCTGCGAACCGGAACGAGCCGATACCCGGCCCGGCGACACGGCCACTGCTAAGTCTGGGCCAGCCGAGGATGCGGATGTGGCGGCTAACAGCCCAGCACCGGCACCGGAAACGGAAGCGGGCGTCATGAGACGACGACGCTGATCACCGGGTGAACTGCCGCCCTCCGAAGACGATGGCGGCGGTGCATAACTGCTGGGCACCGTAGGCGTGGGCACCCGGACACTGTGCGTGTGATGGTTCTGATGGTGGGGATGCTGGAACTGGTGCGGCAAGTGATAGTGATGGTGACTGCTGGTAAAGTGAGCCCGGGCTGGCTGGCTGGTGACCACGGTCGCCGGAGCCGGCTTTGGTTTTTGCTCATCCTGGTAGCTAACGGTGGCCAGCGGTGGCTCCAAGGGTTCGCCAACAGCAGCGGAACTTAGGGAGCTGGTTGAAGGGGAAGAGGAGGAGGAGGTGGAGGAGGATGATGATAAGTCCGACATGAATGAGATAGATATATGGATATATGGATATATGGATATATATATGCGTGTGGCTGGATCTGCTGACCGACGTGAGCTCACTGAACCACCAGAGGCTTTAACTTTGGATTAAGGTCCGAGCACTCGATTTTGCAGATACAAATACAGAGGCACCGTTATGCAGATACAGATACACAAGCACAGATACAGATACTATACAAAGAGCTACAGAGAGATACACAGCCATAGCTATAGAGATACGGATATATAGGCTGCCGCAGCACCTTAATTAAATAATGGTCTCCCCCTCGAGAGTGTGTGCTTTTGGGGCATTTTTCATTGTATCCAATGCCCCAGACATTTCCGTTCCATTCCCATTCCCCCGAATGCATTGAACTTCGCCCGCGGTAGAGAAGACTGACCTCTATTTATAGATCACGGGAGTCTCCTTGACCTTGCGGGGAATACCCATCCCAACCCCAGCCATTGTTCCACCCACAAAGCTAACTTCAATTGCTTTTAATAACGCACAAAGCCTCGGATTCCGTTTCGGATTCCAATCCCAGAGATTTCCAACTAAAATCCAGACTAGAGACTACAACAAAAATAAGTATAAACTTAATGAAAAAGCCCCACGGGGCAATTGAAACTAATCGCCGTCTAGTGGATATATCCACACACACACAGTACGGCTGGGTAACAGTGCGTTTCATAATATATATATAAAGATATACAATATCTAATATATATAAAATATATATCTATAATATACAATATATATAATATGTATATAATAACAAACAGCTTCAAAAATTCGTATTTTATTTGCTTAAACAAATCATTTACAGAGGAGATTTAAAATCTCTTTAAAATCAGTCTAAAAGTATGCAACAATTTCATGGTAAAACAAGCTTTTCTTAACGTTTTTACATTATAAGTCCAGACAAAATCTAAATATTTAAATTTCTTTTTCCTAGCAATATTTTCCCTCTGTGTAATATATATAATATATAAAAACCTCTGCCACCTCAACCTTCATAGAAAGCAAGTTGCTGTCCTTAGTCTTAATCTTACATTTCAAACAGGATTTTTGAGACATATTATTCACATCTTAAAGCCAAAGATATCAAGTACTGACTGTACCTGAATCTGGGTATATATAGCATAAACCTGGTTGATTTGCCGCTTGCCATAATGGAAATATGAAATATTTTTCAGTACGTGATTGGGATGTTTAATTAAGGCGAAACGGAGAGCAGCGCATGCACATGACACATGACACATGTCGGAAGTCAGGTGGATTCGAAAGGGGGTTGGGATGGGTTTTGGGGGGGTCTAGGGGCACCGACATCCTGCCATGAGAGATCCACGCATCATCATTTATTCGCATTCAAATCAAGAATCGGGGCTAGATTCAAATACACTTTGCCGTGTGCTCCGAAAAGCCACTCGAAAGTAAGGCTGCAGAGCCTCATCATTACGACAGCTGGCTGAGGGATTACACAGGGCGAAAATATTGCTAGGAAAATAAAAAAATTGAATTCCATTCAAGGGAAGCTTGTAGGGAATATTTAGATTTTGTTTTGTATTTAAAACTCTTTAAAAATAATGATTATAATGTAAAAACTTTAAGAAAAGCTTGTTTTGTCATGAATTTATTGCATACTTTTAGACTGATTTTAAAGAGATTTTAAATCTTCTCTGAAAAAATATTTGTAGCTTCTTATTATTTTATTATATTTTATTATATTATAGAAAATAGGAATAGAATTTAAATACAATTATTTAAATTTTAAATCAAAAATCAAAGCAATGCATGAAAAATTAATATTATAAATACATTAGAAGCTACCTTTTACCTTCTAATAGTAATTAATAATGTTAATAGAAGCTGCCTTTTAATATACTAATATTATTTAATTTTCCTGCATTTAATTTTCTTCCCTTAAAATCATAAACTTGCATATTTTTATCTCTGTTATTTTTTTTTATGATGATTTGCAACAAGTGTTGTGCTTGGAATGAGAAACCTGAGCTCTCTGGGCTTGTAAATAACCTTGACATCAGGACACACACGAAACACACAACATATCCTCGGCACAAGGACTGCCTGTGCCTTCTGCAATTGTGTGGGTCATGCACTCGAGCGCACTTGTAATCTGATTTCTAAAAGCGTGCTGCATACTTCAGGGCGTCCCTTTTCTTTTATATTTTTGTTTGTTGTTGTTGTCGTTGGGGTTGTTAACCCCACAACAAACCACCTTTTTCGTGCCCCATGTGAGCTTGAATGTTGCATAAATGGATGGAGGGATAAATGGATGGAACCATAGCCACCCGACAGTGCACCTGCTTTTCATCTTTTTTTTCCACCATTTTCCCCACCCAACACCAACTCCACCTGTACAGTGAACACTTGACACTCCCAGCCAAAGTTGTGGCAAAAATTGATTTGTTTACACTATTCTTTGACTATAAACAGGGGATTTCCTAGAGAGGCGATGAGGGAAATGTTTATTTAAAATCCATTTAGGCTTACAACGGTATCACATTTTATATTTTTCAAGTAATTAAAAGTATTAAAATAGTTTTTAATGTTTATTAACATTTTTCAACAAATTCCTAAACCTTTTAAGAGCCTTCCTTTTATAGTAAATATATAAATAAATATTTACTATTATATTTAAATATTTATTAACATTTTTCAACAAATTCCCAAACATTTTAAGAGGCTTTCTTTGCTATTAAATATATAAATAAATATTTAAATTTAATAATAAATATTTATTAACATTTATCATTAATTTCCCAAACCTTTTAAGCATCTTTGATAGTAAATTCTTAAATATATATTACCTCCAAACCTGTGACATTTCCTGATATTGAAATATACCATATATATCAATATCGACCGGAAGACGAACGACAACCGCCAGTCAAGTCATCCGTTTGTCAATTGAAGCCAGCGATTAATTTCCGGCTCGAAGGGCGGAAGGCATTTCATTTCGTATGCGGTATTCATGAGTGCGAATGCATTCACCCCGGTTACGGTACGGATACATGGACATGGACAAAGGCCGCTCTGAAAGGGAGGGGAAGGCGGAGCACCTGGGCATTCGGACATGAGAGCAAATACAAAAAACCGCAGCAGAAACAAGGCAGGCCTTTTCAATTGACCCATTTTGCACAAAGAGGGACTGGGAGGGGGGCCTCGCTTCTTCTCCGGCGGACTGTGGCTGGCTCCGGGCAATTTGCCGAGTCGCACATGCATTTAGCGCCACAATAATGGGCGTGGCATTGGGGCCAGACAGGGCCCAACACACACACAGAAGGTGACATCCAGGACCTCGACGAGGACGAGGACAACAACCTGGCTCCATAGCCGTCACCTTTCACCTACCTGCTGCTACTGCAGCCTGCTCTTCTCAGTTTTTTACTTATTTTTTTATTTTTTTTTTTTTAGTTTCCATTTCCATTTACTGCAACAATTTGCGCCTGTCAGGCCAATCGAGCAGAGCAGCCCAGCTCAGTTCAGACCGTGTGCCTTTGAATCCGTGTAGCGTATACGCACTCAAAGGCCGCACATTACGTATACGCCAGGTGGCTCCTGCCACACTGACATTCAAAAAGTTGAGAATCGCTAGAAACATAAATGATATTTGACAAATTTGCACGCTTCTCCTTCTCCGGATCTTCAAGGAATCATTTCAATTTCAATTTCAATTCCATTTCTTTATTCTTTTATTATTTCCCAAAAACTTCTCCAACCTTTTTCTCTCAGTGACCCCCGACTCCGGCCGTATTCGCCGCTGTTTACGGCGTGAAACTTGTCCGGGTGTTGCTCTGGAAACGTGATGTTTAATTAATGTAAAGTGAGGCAGGCGGCAGACAACACCAAAGCGGAGCAGCGAACCTAGTAGAGCAGGGAGCAGGAGGATGGTGGGTGCCCACACCCACCATTCCTGATGCAGCAGGAGTAGAACATGAGCACCTAAGTTAAACAGTTTTGTTGAGCTATTAGCAGCGACTAATGGAGGCTGACGAGGACGAGAACGATGATGTAGTTAAGGGGGGAGCTTTAGGTTTTGGGCCAGGACGAAGAGCCGGCTGAGGACGATTATGCAATTAGAGGAGCGCCCGCGGGAAGCCCAAGCCAGACAAGATGTTACAGTTAGATAGGAGTAAGGCTTGCAGGCTTGCCAAGGATCTTAATCTCAAGATGAGACAAGGGGGGAATCCCTTCAAGGAAAACATAACATGAAGAAGGATACTTTTGTGGGGCTACAAGACAATTCTTAATCCAATTAAAGACTTGTTATCCTCGGAAACCTATATATCCGCATCTCTAGTAGTTACCAAATCCTATACCCCGACTTCAAACTCACCTGGCTGGCTCCTTGGTGACTCCGGCAGCAGCAGCGGCGGCAGTGGCTGCCGTCTCCGCCAGCTTAGGCGGACTGCTCACCAGTGGAGGACTGCAGACCCGCGGCGGTGTTGTGATCCTTGGCGGACTGTGCATCTGGCGGGCCAGCTCCGGCGGTGGGCTACGCATTAGCGGTGGCGATGGCATCACCGGAGCACCCTCACCAGCCGGCGGGCTCTGTACGCTCTGACGCTGCGACACCGCCGGACTCCGAACCGATGTCTGCGATTTGATCGAGGCCTGGGGAGAGAGGATGCCGGCAGCATGGCCAGCCGAGGCCACGGATCCCGTGCGTGAACCAATTCGAGATCCTGGCTGGGAGCCAGCCCTTGATCCTGGCTGTGAGCTCTGCCGCGATCCTGGTTGTGATCCCCTCATCTGCTGCGATCGCTGGCTGCCACTGCGACTGGGTCCACGGCTCTCCGGCTTCGGAGATCCTCCACCACCGATGGAGGCGGATATGGAGCCGGTGAGGCCAGCCAGGGCACCGCTGGCTATGCTGGCCGCTCGCGGCGAGCTAATGCTGTCGCCGGGCTGCTCCTGCAGCGATTCCCTGTCCACGGACAGTTCATCCGTCTCCACCTTGGTTAGCTCTTCCTCCTCCTCTTCATTATCGGGCTCCGGCTCAGGCTCCTCCTCCTCCTCCTCATCTGCCTGGTCAAGTGGCGGTGGCGGTATAAAGCCCCTGTCCTCGTCCAGCTCACCAAAATGCTCTGGCGGCGGTGCTATGATCGAGGAGGCCGAATAGCCATTGCTTGGCGGTGTGGTAATTGTGGTGGACTCATCCTCGTTGTCCAACGAACGACTGTAGTCCTCGCGAGCTCCACTCACCGGCTCCGGTTCCGGTTCAACTTCAGCCTCGGGTTCCAGTCGGGGATTCGGCAGAGGCGGCGAATTGGGCTGGGATTCAGCTTCGTTCTCGCTTTCCGACGAGGGCGTCAGTGGCGGTATCTGGCTGATGTGCTGAGCCGGTGGCGAGGATACCATTCGGCTGAGATTGAGCTCTGGACACGGCGGCGGGGTCACGGGCGGTGAGGGTGAAGTGGATGGTGATTTGGTGAGCGGCGGTGTAACCACCTGGCCGAGATTGTGTCCCTGGACATAGGAGAGATTCGATGGTAGCGGCGGCAGTGGTGGCGGTGGCGTTGACTTGTCCTCATCATCGGAATCTTCCTTCTCCTCTTCGGGATTCTCCTCCAACTCTTCTTGTGCTTCTTCAGGCTGCTCCTGGGGCAGTGGCATGGGCACAGCATCCTCGGCATCATCGGTCTCCTCGCCCTCGCCATCATCATCGGTCCGCAGGCCGGCATCATCGAGCGGGGATAATGGTGGCGGTGGTATCAGCGCCAGATCAAGCACAGAGCCAGCTCCCTCCTCCTCGGGCTCCGGCTCCTCCTCCACCTCCTCTTCATCCTCCTCCTCCTGATCATCCTCCTGGGGATCCTGGTCCTCTTCCTGCTGTGGCGGTGGCGTGGGCGTTGGCGGTATGTCATCCGTCTCTGTCAGCGTGGGCAGCGGCTGGCCCAGCAGCGTGGGCAGTGGCGGCGGCGGTGGTGCCACCAGAAGCATTACCTCCTCGGCCAGCGAAACTGTGGGCAGTGGCGGCGGTGGCGGTGGTACCTCCTGGCCCTGACCCTGAGCCTGGGCTGTGTCCACCTCCTCGATATCGGAGTCGATGCCCTGGGCAAAGTCCATGTAAAAATTGTCACGCGAATCGCTGCTGCCGCGTCGGAGCTTCAGCGACAGATCCGGCGAGCTGTCCATTTCGGCTCGCTTTTCTGCTTTTATCTAACGGGATTTCTTTCTGCCAGAAGGAAATTCCTTCACACACTCATACACATACGCAGCACACGCACGCACACAGTCACGTGTGTTGTCCTTTTCGTGGGGGGAGGGGGATATTTCTCTGTTTCGTTTAATTACTGCTTCAAGTTTATATTAAGTTTATTATTAGGTTGTTAATCCTTGGTCTTTGGCGTTTTCACTCCATTTCACTGCACACGCACATTGTGTGTATCCCTAAAATGCACAAGGAAGAAGTGTCAAAAACACGCATACACACGCTCATACACACACACAGCATCCCTCTCTCATTACGGGCTTTCTCTTTGCCGCTCTCTCTCTCTCTCCTTTTACTTCCAGGGCTCCAGCCAGAGGCGTGGGCTGAAGGGGCGTGGCAGTCCTAGTGCAGTTAGCTGCGCACTTGGCTTTTTACGCAATAAAATCTCGAGAGTGCGTGTGTGTGTGTGAGTGTGTGAGAGTGTGAGAGCGTAAAAGTGCGTAGTAGGAAGGAAGGAAGTGGAAGAAGGAGGCAGTAGGCAGTAGGAGCAAGATAGAAGCAGGGAAAGGGGTAGGGAAATGGGAAGGGGAAAAGGGGAAAGGGGAAAGGGGCGCAAAGTAACGGTTGCGTAAAATAAAATCACATCAACAACAATAATTAATTGTAATAACAATTAATTGTTTAGCATTTTCACAGCATTTTGTTTATATATTTAACGTTTTTTTTTTCTTTGAACTTTTGTAAAAGTAAGTCAGAGAGTACCGTTATGTACACACACAATAACAACACCCACAAAACAAAACAAAAAATAAAAATCGGTTACGGTTCGTGTTCCGGTGTTCCCGTTTCCGGGCGGTTAACAACCGTCTTGTGCTCGATTTACTTGTATTTTTCAGCCGAGTGCCGCGACTCCTGCTGCTCCAGCGGCACTTAAATTTAGAATGAAGAGGACGCAGTGGCGTCCGTAAGCGGAATCCCAAAATCACAATCAAAATGAGCTGCGCCACACACACTCACACACACACACACAGCCTCTCTGCGCAGCTGCCGTTGGGCAGAGAGCTTTACGCTGCCGGTAGTTGTTTGCTGGTGGCTCTATGTAATGCCAACGGTGGTTGTCGCTAGCATAAAATACAACAACAACGCACTTGACCGGATTCCAATTGCTTTGTTTTGCCAAAGTTTCGAGTTCGCCGTAATCGCCAGCCGTAATCCGCGATTTCGCGGCGTAGAAGTAGGGTAGAAAGTCAAGTGCGATGTGCAGACGGAGGACAGAAGGTCCTGTTAAGGCACATAAATGCGTCGTATTTATAAATCATTTTTTAATAAAATATATATTAAATTTTATAAATGACATATATTATTTAAAATAAAGAGAAATTTAAGAAATGAACTAGGATTTCCGGTTAAGAAATATGTATATTTATTATCACAAAGCTCAAAATAGTTTGCTGTAAAGGAGGCCAGGATAAAGGTACCAAAGGATTTATAGCATACTTTTTGACAACAACATTTTCTTAAGCTGTAACTCAGTCGTTTATCTATTACTAACTACTTAAAAATATAAACAAAATCCAATGAGCAATAAGTAAACACTACCATAATTTGTGCCCATTTCTCTCTCTCTCTCTCTCTCTCTCTCTCTCTCCCTCTTCTTCTTGGTCTCTTCCGGTTCCCAATTGGATGTGCTGGAATTCAAGCTTAAAGTTTTCAACAGAGAGGGGAGCCAGAGAGCTTTTTTAAGCTTATTTTACACATATTATTTTATTTGTCGTCAGTAATTAATATTTTTCTTACAATAGTAAGATTGTATAAAGTCTGATTTCATTTAAAGGGAAAATATATATTATTTGGCAATGAATTTAAAATAAATTATAAATTAAAGTTTGTAAGTTTATAAGTTTATGCTATTATTTATTCTTCCTAAAATATATATTATTTTATAATTTTAAATTAAAACTTTTGTATCCACCGCTAAAGTGTTGGAAAAGCAGTGTTGGTAAACAGTTCCCCGGCGTTGCCAGACATAGAATACCTACGAAAATCATCGAACTATCGCCGCTGTCGATTTTTCTCGTACACGCCACGAACCGATAGCAGCTTGCTAGGGCAACTACCATCCCTAGAACAGCGGCCAGAGTTTTGTGAAAATTCGGTAATTTCTTCTTATTTACGTGGACATTTTGCAAGCGCCGGCGTAACCAGCCCCCGCCTGCAGCACCGTGCAAGCCGAATTGTGTATTACCCGATCCGATTCTCAGTGATCCCAACGGACGGAGGCCCAGAAAGGCTCCAAATACACAGCACATTCCCACTCCGTGTGGCGTTTGCGCCCAGCCAGCCTGCGTCTGTGTGTGTGTTGTGTGCCTGTGTGTGTGTAGTTGTGCTTGTGCCTGTCCGTGTGTGTGAATTGTCGGCTTTCCTATTTTATTTTTTTTGCAAACACGCTAAAAATTGTTAGTTTTTAAAGGATTTTCGTAAATAATTGGCCATCCAAGGAGCACAAAAAAAGGGACAATATGTCATACCCGCCACGGGGGGCACCCATGCCGCCGTACATGAATGCCTCGATACCGCCACCGCACGTAAGACGACAAGTTGCCATTGGAAATTCTAGTTTCTACATGTTTAAAATGTGGATCCTTCCACTTTCCAGATGATGCCAAACATGGGAAATGCGCCGCCGCGAAACTTTAGGAACTCGGCCACGATCAGCTCACAGCCGCAGGTGTACCATCGTCCGCCAGAGCCGCAGCCACAGTTCCGGGGTCCCATTATCACCGTCTTTGTGGGCAACATCAGTGAACGTGTGCCGGAGGTGCTGCTGAAACGGATTCTGTCCACCTGTGGCGTTGTTATCAACTGGAAGCGAGTCTCCACCTTTGGTTTCTGTGAATTTGAGTAGGTTTTTTTGGAGTTTTGGGACGCCTATTTCCTGGTATATCTCTAACACACAACTCCCTCTTGCAGCGGCCCAATTGCAGCCATGCGTGCCGTCCGCTTGCTCAGCGAAATGGAAATCGATGGCAAGAAGCTGGTGGCCAAAGTAGATGCCAAGAACAAGGTGCTCATCGAGGATTACAAGGAGCAGGAGTGCAAGAACGGTGATCGTTCCAATTCGGTGGATGAAAAGACCGAGGATCAGTATGCCATTGGCAAGATGCAGGATCTGCTGGAGGAGCACAAGCATGAATTTGATGGCTTCGATGGCAGCAATCGCGGTGATCTCTATGGCAGCAGCAGTCGTAATAAGAAGACTCGACGCGAGGATGACATCAAGATCAAGGTGCTGAATGACAATGCCTTAGAGGAGGAGAAGCGTAATCTTATAAGCAGCGAGATTGGCAAGTTTCGGAAGCGAGCCGAGGCCGATGAGCATCGCAAGGAGCTGGAAAAGGAAAAGGAGAAGGAGAAGCTGGCGGCCAGCAAGGAGAAGGAGCGCGACAAGGAGCGCAAGAAGGCGCAGCGTGATAGTGAACGTAAGTCGTCGTCGTCATCGAACAGTAAATCCACCAGCAGCAGTAACTCCAGCTCCAATGCAGCAGGAACAGCAGCAGCAGCAGCCGGAGGAGGCTCCTCCTTGTCCACGTCCAATGCTGTGGCTGCCACTGCCACAGGCTCATCTGGAGGTGCTCCTGCTGATTTGGATGTGACAATTGTTGACAAGGAAACGCCATCATCATCCTCCAAGGATTCCACTGCCGTCAAGGACTTGGCAAAGGAGCCCAAGGAGTCATCCACCTCCATTACCGCCGCCACTGCCAGTCGCCGCAAGGAGCCCCTTGATACTGCACACAAGGAGCGTCGCTCTGACTCCAAAGAGCGGCGACGTCGTCGCTCCAAGTCTCGCTCCAAGGAACGCCAACGCGACCGAGAGCAGGAGATTCGCGAACAGCGGGAAAGGGAGCGGGAACGAGAGCGCGAGCGGGAGCGCGAACGTGAGCGGGAGCGTGTGGAGATGCGGGAGCGGGAAAGGGAGCGTGTGGAGATGAGGGAGCGGGAACGTGAAAGGGAGCGCGAGCGGGAACGCGAACGGGATCGCGAACGTGAGCGTGAGCGCGAGGAGAAACGCATGAAGCCGCTAATGGATTCGCGTCGCGAAAAGGAAATGGAAGAGGAGTTGCGGGAGCGCAAAAAGGCCGAAAAGAAGGCGCGCGAAAAGGAGGCGGCCTACCAGGAGCGACTCTCCAACTGGGAGATACGCGAGAAGCGTCGAGCCAAGGAGAACGAGAAGTACCGCCTGAAGGAGCTGCTGCGTCAGGAGGAGCGCGAAAGTGATGCCAAGCGCCTGAAGGAATTCGTTGAGGATTATGATGACGAGCGTGATGATTCCTTGTATTATCGCGGACGTGAACTTCAGCAGCGGCTGGCAGAGCGTGTACGCGAAGCCGATGCCGATTCCAAGGATCGCGAAAAGGAGGCCGATGAGCTGGCCGAACTCAAGACCAAGTTCTTTAGCGGTGAATACGAGAATCCCTCGCTGGAATATGAAAAAGCACGTCGCGAAATCGAAAAGCTCTACGAGCCGCGCATCCTGATCAATGTGAATCTGGAAATGGCCACGGAAACGGCGCAGAACAACAACAAAAACAAGAATCAGCAGCCTACAACCGACAGCTATGATCCAGATTTGGCCCATGATGATGACAATTCCATTTCCAATGATGGTCACGATGATGGCCATGACTCTATGGGTGACAGCGCCTCCAATGCCAGTGGCTATGCCAAGAACAACAACAACAAGGATAACTCTTTGTCCAACAGTTTAAGCAGGCAAAATAGCGAATCACGCGATTCTCTGGCCCACATTCACACGCCCACCCAGAGTGCCGCCATGCTGAATGATCATCAGGGTTCGTTGGAGCATCATCATCATCATCATCTGCCCTCGGCCACACCGCCAGTTACCACCATGCCGCTCATCTCCCTGACGCTGGGCAACAATCTCAAGAAGAAGAAGATTGAAGCCACGGGGGTATTTGTGAATGACGATGACAATGATGAGAATATTAATCCCAAAAAGCGCAAGTTGGTGCCGTTAGGTGAGTTGTGGGTGTAGGGGGAATAGAAGGGGAATATAGAAAGGAAATATGAAGAATGTTTGAGGAACATATTTCCCATCATATTCCTTTGACTCTTCATCTAACTCTTACTCTCTCCCATCCTTAGATTACGATGACAACATGAGCAACAGCACGCCATCGTCTGCCCATCCAACCAACAATAACAACAGCAGCAGCAACAACACTAGCAATAACAACAACAACAACAATAGTAGCAACAATATAAGCTCTGCGGAACGCCAAAGCTCTGCAGTATCAGCAGCCACCGCTGCCGCAGCTGCCGTTAGCCAAAAGATAGCCCTAGCTGGCACCGGCTCAAGTTCCTCCAGTTCCGGCAAAAACAATGGCAGCAGCAACAGCAAACATAATAGCAACAGCAGCAACAGCAGTAGTTCCGCCAGCAAACACGGTAAGAATGAGGCTGGTGGTGCCAGTGCAGATGCTGCCGCTGCTAGCGGCAAAAAGGATGAGAATGGTGCTAAGGTTTATGATGAAAAACGTCGGCATATAAAAAGCATTATTGACAGGATACCCACGCAAAAGGAGGAGCTATTTAATTATAAACTTGATCGCAATGAGATTGACAGCGGTCTAATGGAACGCAAGATACGTCCATGGATAAATAAGAAAATTATTGAGTATATTGGTGAGCCAGAGCCAACCCTGGTGGATTTTATATGTTCCAAAGTTTTGGCCGGCAGTCCGCCACAGAGTATACTCGATGATGTCCAGATGGTGAGTGTCCTGTGTCTCTTTTTTGTGGAAAAAGAAATTAATTAACTCTTTCCTTCTCACTTTCTTTAGGTACTGGACGAGGAAGCGGAGGTGTTTGTGGTGAAAATGTGGCGATTGCTCATATATGAAGTGGATGCCAAGAAGAGTGGCATTGGGGGTAAATAGAAGGAGCAAAAAGGAGGTTACAGTTACCCGCTAAACACACTGGGGAAATTCGGGCGGGGTTCGGGGTAAGGATCGTAGGGAACATACCAAGGAGGTGAAGGAAGAGGATGACAAGGAGGTGGAACCAAAACGATTTACAATAGATTTTTGTACATACAGGGTGTGTTCCAAGGCATGCTCTTCAAAAAGAGATAGAGAGAGAGTAAAGAGAGAGGAGTAAAGAGACGAGTAAAGAGAGAGGAGTAAAAAGAGACGAGTAAAGAGAGAGTAAAAAGAGAGAGAGAGAGTAAAAAGAGACGAGTAAAAAGAGAGGAGTAAAAAAAAAACGAGTAAATCGAGAGATGAGTAAAAAGAGACGGGTAAAAAGAGACGAGTAAGGAGAGAGGAGTAAAGAAAGAGGAGTAAAAAAAAAGAGAGAGTAAAGAGAGAAGTAAAGAGAGAGGAGTAAAGAGCATCACCTTCCAGCCTCCATGATGTCCCCGGCGATCCCACCTTGCTCTAGCATTAATGGATAAAATAAATCATCGATAACTGTAAATACACCCACTAAAAAAAAAAACTCGCTTTTAAAAGCGACACAAAAAAACACAATCATGAACAGCCAGCAGCAGCGGCAATTAAGAGAGAGACCCCAAAACCGAAGTGCATTTCGGTTTAAACTCTTTCAAATTCTTATTTGTTTTTTTTTTAAACCAATTCTCGGCCCTGTATCATCATTTTGTTTTTTCTTATATTTTAAATTATACAAAACTAGTAATTTTTTTGTGACTTAAGAGCAAACATAAATAAAAGCATACAAAATTGTCTTCATTTAAATAAAAACAATGAAAAGAAATGGGAAAGTGATAATTGATTACATGACGAAGGGGTTAAGGGAAAAATAAAATAAAATTAATAATAAAAAAATAAATAAAATAAAAAAATAAATAAATAATTAAAAAATAAAAATAAATAATATATAAAATAAATAATAAATAGAATAAAATAATAAAAATAAATAAATAATTAAAAAATAGAATACTATATCAAATAAATAATAAATAAATAAAATATAAAACATATATAAAAAAACAGAAAAACAAAGGAAAACGTCGAGTTGAGCTACAATCCCAACGCTTACGTGTGGCTCTACTTGGACTCTGATCAACCCGCTGATAGTTACCACCAGACCAATGATGAAATAATTCCAATTTACGAATGAGTAATTCCTTTAATTTACAAAACAGGACTTAAATCGATTAAATTGCTTTTACCTAGGATTTTTTATACATTTTAGGGACATTAACTAAACGGAACAACAACAAAAACTATGGAGATTATAGGAAAAAATGCAAGATACATACGTACATACATACATAGATTTGGAAAAGGGACCTCCAAGGATATCGTAATATATATCCTATTGATTCCCGGTTTGATTTAAGATTGAACGCTGATTTTGTGGTTTTTTTTTTTGGCTTTATGCTAATGATATTTGAACGATTAAATAAATACACGCTAGAAATTTGTTTGACAAAAAGCACACCACCAGATATCAACAGTAGCAGGAGGAGGCACTGCCCTCCAGATCCCGATCACCGCCAATGTCCATGCCTGTGGAGCCGTTGCCATTGTTGAAATACTCCGAGGAGACAATCTACAAGGGAACAGAGGAGGGATTATTAAAATAACAAGTGGATTATTAGCGTGAACTTTACCTTTTCCACAATATCCTTGAACACATCGCTCACAAACTGATCGCATTTGGCCGATGTCTCGATAAAGAGCGCCCTATGCTTGCGTGCAAACTTGCGTCCCTCCTCGCGATCCACCTCCCGCTCCTGATCAATCTTGTTGCCCACCACAATGATGGCTATATTCGGATTATCACTGTAGCTATCCAGCTCCGCCAGCCACGTCTCCAGCTTGACCAGTGAGTCCCGGCTGGTAATGTCGTAGACCAGTATGGCGCCCAATGCCTTTCGGTAAAAGCTGGGCGTTAGGCTGCGAAAGCGTTCCGCGCCCGCTGTGTCCCACAAGGCCACCTTATAGTCGATGCCATCCACGTTCATCACCTTGCTCTTGAAGTCCATGCCGATCGTGACGTCATGGTTGTCATCGAACTTGTTCTCCACGAAGCGACGTATCAGGCTGTAGGGAAGAGGAGGAGGAGAAGGTGTTTGTGATATAGAAAACAATGATGCAAGCGCGGTGTGCGTATATACGCAGTGGTTTTAAATATAGGAAGGAAATGGAGCTGCTCTCTCACCTGGACTTGCCCACGCCACTCTCCCCTATCACCAGGAGCTTGATCGCGCGATCAGCCATTGTGCTTTGATTCTATGAATGTTTACACGTTTGTATGGCTGTGCTCATCTACTATTATTTACAAAAAATCAGATGCGAGAATTGCGAATTAATTATTTAGGCAAAATGGCGTTGCCACCTGGTTGGTTTGTTTACATTCTCATTTCGATTGGCCCAATCGATAATGTATCGATAATATACCATTTCTTAGAAAAATACCAAATTGATGAAATATTTATCATCCGTAAATGATCAATATTTCAAGAATATTTTACATTATATATAAATAAAACGCAGAGTTAATAGATTCTTCAGTTAAAAGCTATTTAAAAAGGAAATAAACTAAAAATATACTAGATAAATACCTAAATCCGTATTTTTAGGCCTTTTCAAGTTTTGTAAGCTTGTGCCTATTTCTAAACATGAAGCAACGGTCACACTGATACACACACAGGTGACACAGCTTTTTGCAGGGGAAAATATACATAAAAGTTGAGTGCGAGTCCCAAGCGTTTACCTGGTCACAGCCCCAACACAACAGTAGACACCATGTCCGGCTCCGGTCTCGACGAGAATCCCTTTGGGGAGCCCAATCTGGACAATCCGTTTGCGGTGAGAGCAGCAAAACACACACAGAGAAGAAAACCCGACACACGCACACACTCACACACAGATACACGTAGGCCAGAGTGGGCGTTCGTGTGCGTATGTGTGTGTGTGTTGATGTGGGTGCATTCGTCACATATGTTGAACTTATTGGGGAAATATTTTTGCAAACCGCTTCCGCTTCCTCTTTGTATTTCAGGACCCCGCCATCCAGCAGGCAAGACGTTTGCAAAGCGGCGCCCTCGTCTCCCTCGAGGATTACAACCCATTTGAGGAGCAAGCAAAGCCGCAGCTGCAGATCAACTCAACGAACACGGCGGCGGTGGTGCAGCCGCTATCGCAGAATGTACCGCCCCCGCAGACCAGTTCGCTGGGCGCCTCGGCGCCGAGCACCAGCATACAGATCACCTCGGAGGAGCTGCAGGTAACCTAGTTAGCCAGTTGAGGGGGAAACCCGAGAGTACAGTGAAGGTCTGTACATACATGTCTGTAAATGCATGTCGCAAGCCGTAACGCGAGATAATCAAAAGATAACGAGATTATTCCGGCATCTGGCCGAGATTAGTTGCCGCTGGCTGCTGCTGCTGCTGCTGCTGCTGCGGGTCTTCACTGTACCACACTCACTGCGGTTTCCCTTAGCCTTTGCCGGGCTTCACTTGGGGCTACAACAGAGCAAAAATATTTGTGGCTGATTTGAAGAATGTATAACTTGGTTTTGACTTATTTAAAATCAAGTTTTTGTGATTTTTAAAATATTTAATGCAACTTTTTAAAATTTATTTCATTTTAAAATATTTAATATTTCATTTTTTAATTTAATTTAAATTATTTTAAATACTTACATAAAGCAAATTTGATTTTTATTACTAGAATTCCTTTTAAAACTTGTCAAAAAAATGCATTTAAAGTAAAAGCAAAAGTTTATATAATTAAGCTTTAAATAAATAAATTAATATTATACAAATTTAATATATAAATGTATTAAAAAAAAACCCAAAGATGGCTCCAAGAGTTTTTTAAACAAGGAAATATGCTTTACAAATATGTAAACCTTTTCAATTTAGCAGTTTAAGCGTTTTGATAACAGTCTAAAATCAATTATTTTGCAGATTAAAATTATAACAAATTAACAAAATAATATTTAACAAAATAATATTGATTTACTCTAAAAATATCCCCATTATTCACACTAATATATACCCCTTATCTTCAGTTTAAACTTTAATGGTTTTACGATCCTTGATAAGTAATGCCTGAACAATGGTTTCGCCTGCTGATTCCACTTTATAAACTGTTGTAATCTCCTTATTAAATATACATATATTTTTTTGTTTATATTTTTAGCGCCGCCAAGAGGAGCTGGACCGCAAGGCAGCCGAGCTGGACCGTCGCGAGCAGCAGCTGCAGGGCAATGTGTCGCAGCTGAACAACTGGCCCCCGCTGCCGGATAACTTCTGTGTGAAGCCGTGCTTTTACCAGGACTTTGAGGTGGAGATACCGCCCGAGTTCCAGAAATTGGTCAAGCGATTGTACTACATTTGGATCTGTAAGTATTGCCGTTTGTGTCTGATAAGGCGACCCGCGGGGGCCTGGGATTAGTCATCGCGTGTCCGGGCACGGTCGTCAGGTGGAATGATTAATCAGAGTGGATGTAGAGAGCTAATGGCTGCGGAGGTGTGTTCGTTTTGTTGTGCAGAAGGAAGAGAAAGGGGAGGGGGAGAGAGGCTTTCTTTGAATGATAAAACGAGGCGTTATTTAGGCTGAATAGTAAAGCAGTTTTGGGGTTTATAAACAGAAAGAATATCGTAAAAGTAATAATTGTAATAACAACATATAATTAATACTTAAAAAATAATACAAAAAAATAATCAAATAATAAATAAATAATATAAAAAATAATATAAAATAATACAAAATAATATAAAATACTAAAAAATAATGAATAAATAATAAATAAATAATACAAAATAATAAAATAAATAGTAATCAAATAATAAATAATAAATAAATAATAAAAAAATATATAATTTACATAAATAATAAAAAATAAATAATAATTCAAATAAATAAGCAAAAAAAGGAAATAAATACTATACAATAATTAACAAAAAAATTAATATTATCAGGAAGGAATATATATTTTTAATATTTTATCTCTGAATTCCTGAAGAAATAATAAATAAGAATATAAATAATAAATAATAAAAATACAAATAAAATAAATAAATAAATAATAAATAAAATAAATAAATAAATAATAAATAAGATATAAATAATTAAAAAAAATATACACTTAAGATAAAACATATATATTTTCATTATTTTAACCCAAAATTCCTTATATTTTTCACCAAATTCTCCGCTTTTGTTACAGTTTACACCATGACGTTGTTGGCCAACGTGATCGGCGGTCTCATTTTGCTTTTCCATGCCGGCCAATTTGAGACCTTCTTCCTGGCCATTTTCTACACGCTGCTCTTCTCGCCCGCCTCCTATGTCTGCTGGTGAGTGCAAAGCCTGTGATAAGGATACCGTAGAATACCTTTTATTTATTATATTTGTATATTTTATTTCTTATTTATTTAGGTTCCGACCGGCGTACAAGGCCTTCCGCAACGATTCGAGCTTCAACTTCATGGTCTTCTTCTTCATTTACTTCTTTCAAACCCTCTACTCAATCGTCCAGGCAGTGGGCTTCGAAAAGATGGGCTACTGCGGCTTCATCACCTCCATTGCCCAGTTCGATGGCCAGGCATCGGGCATTATAGTTGGCATATTGCTGCTAAACATCTCCTTTGCCTTTGCGGCGGTGGCCGTGGCCAATGTGCTGATGATCACCAAGATCCATACGATCTATCGCAGTACTGGGGCCAGCATGGCCAAGGCACAGGCTGAGTTTACCACAGAGTTTCTAAGGAATCAGCATGTCCAGGAGGCGGCATCCTCGGCGGTTAATACGGCCATTAATTCGCAGTTTAACAACAGCAGCAGATACTAAAGGAGACGTGACTGTGCAAATTAAGTGGGAAATTAAATCAATCAATCAATCATGATGAGAACTCAAGCGAGAAAGAGAGAGAGAGAAAGAGCGAAAAAGAGAGATGGAGAGAATCCCCTTTGATTCGGTGAATTAGAAAGCAAATAAAAACAAAAAAAGAAACACGAGCGCATTGAACTAATAACTATTTGCTTTTGTGCATCAACAATTCCTAGAATGCCGTCGTCTTTATTACAATTATAATTAACTGTAATGATAACACATACACACACACGCAATGCATTAACAATATTTATATATACAAAAAAACAAAAACAAAAAACAAAGCGAAAATGAACTTGAAACTTGGGCTAAAAGTGAAAAAAAAGAAGAAAAGATTAGAAGCAAAAGAGACAGCATAAGCAAAGGCAAAGAGTATTAATTCGTTTGCAAAAAATAACACCGGAAACGGATATGAAAGTGGAAGCGGAAACAGAAACGGAGACCAGGCTGCAAGCTGCTGCTTCGGATAATGATGATGTTTTCTAGTTATTTAAGTCATTGAAACGATAATAGGCATACCTCCCAACTTCCCCACACAAACACACTCACACAAACACCACATGCATACACAAATACATATATATATATATATATATAAACGATCTTATATATATATATATAAAGATAAACAAAATAATATATATATTTAAAGCTTGCATTATACAAAAAACTATCTCTTGGAAAGCATCAAATTCTGAAATTCATTTTTCATTCAAGCTTCCCCCCCTTTTACATCCTCTGTTCATCATGTCGTCGTGTATTTTTGTAATCGTAATTGTTATATAATTATCTATGTATATGAGAAGACAGCATATATAAAAAATATATATATATATATATTATTGACACATTTAATTTTTAGATAAAACCGTTCCCGATTCTGTTTTCTTCGCTTGCAAAATCAAAGTTATGTTTATAAATATATATATATATATATTATGACCTACTTAAAACTTATATTAAATTTATGCGATGAGAGGAACGAACTATCGATGTGTATTTGGAATTCAAGCAAAATGAAAATTTATGATAAATTAAAAAATAAATATACAAAATACTTATAGATGTAAACACACAATCCTGAATGTCTTTTTGTTCGGGGTAATTAAATTATAACAATCTTAAAAATTTTTTAAAATTAACAATAATTTGTATTTATTTAATTTTTCATTTTTCAGATTTAATTACTTATTAAAAACTAGCACTGAATATATATATATTTTTTTGTATATAAATTTATTAATAAATTAAAAAAAAAAAAATTAATAAAAAAATATAAAAAATAAATAATAATTAATAAAAAAAATAATAAATAAATAATTGATAAAAAATAAATAATTAATAAATAAAAAATAAATAATAAATAAAAAATAAATAATTAATAAAAAAAATAATTTAAAAAAATAATAAAAAAAAAATAATAAAAAAAAATAAATATGAAAATAACAAAAAAATAAGAAAATAATAAAAAAATTAATACAAAAAATTATTTCCACTCGCTTGACACTATAATTCCCAACTAGTTCAAGCATCTTCTGAGTGGTAACCCAGCTGAATGTTGAGGTGGTGTGATAGTGTGGTTGTGTGATTGTGGATGCTCGCTCCCAAAAGAGCTGCTACTTGTTGTGTTTTTAGTGTACCCTCCCTGTTTAGTAGCTTAGTGCTACGGGGTTATCAGCTATTTGATCAGATATTCACCGAAGAGCCTTTAAGACTAGCGAGAAATCAAGGAGATGGAGCAATCGAAGGAGGAACCTGGAGAACTGTGAGTATATAATATTAATATCGATTCCTAATTCTATAATTTTTTAATTTTAATTTCTAATAATTTATAATTTACACTTACGGTTAAATATTTACATTTGAATACAACTTTAAAAGTGCTATAATTTAAGTCATAACCCTGCAACGCAGTGAAGGAAGTCGAGTCATTCCCCTAAAATATTTAAAACTATAAAATTCAGCTTTAAAACTCAACTAAAAACCAAAGCAGAGCATCTAAATATAATCCTTTAATTGAGCTAATATCTCAAGATGTCCTTGAAATACCTTGAAACCGGCAGGAGACCCAAACCCGTACCCTTATAAATCTAGATCCCTGGGATTCACGCTTGATTGATATTCCCATAAGTGTGATGGGCGGCTGTCGCCAAGACGTTTGTTCCGTTTTGTCATCGCTGGATGAAAATTTCATTCGGCAAATGTTGAATTAAATCAACAACAGCAAATGGTTCTGTCCACACACAAACACACACTTACACAGACTCCCTCGCTGCTATCAAATATTTGTGCTAGACAGATACGTGTGCCTTATATATAGACGTATATATAGGAGAGACACTAGGTTGGATTGGGCAAAAATTGCGCATACGCCACGTTGGGCGAATATTTGCAACGATTTGTTTGCCATTTTGCTGGCAATTGAGGCAGTCCGCAATAGTAGAAGGAGGAGGTACAACACTGTAAAATGCAGTAAAAAGCGAAAACGATGAGCAAATACGCTCGAGAGTCCTGCAGATGCAGTCGCTGCCGTTGCCATCGTTAGTGGCAAATCCTTTTTGGCACACTTCAGTCAAGTGGTGGACTGCATTGCTCACGTGTTGCCGCTGTATGAATGGTTAACCCGAGCACCTGGCAGGTGGGATCTGGTCTGGGGGGGGGGGATCGGGTTTCATCCATGGGCTTGGAACGCTAATTGCTGACAACGATTTGCTATTGATTGCATTTTCACGCTGCTTGCGTGCCAAGAGCACACGGAGCGAAGTCAAAGGACACGCTGTGACAAGGTAACCATATTGATTTTGTGTCGGGCCAAGAATAACCAAGTGAGCTACGCCACGTAACTCAACGGCAGCGACCGCCTCCCCCGAGAGCGGACTTTATTTATCACAAAAAGTTTTGCAATTGAAAATTGCATATCAAGGCCGCTGATCCTCAATTATCATGAAAGAATGAGAGAGAGGAAGTGGGGGTAACTTTCATTAGGCAAGGTTTTTTTTCAAGGGTTTTTGTAAAGTTTTTAGAAGATCTTTTTAGGGAATTTTAGGGATTTTTAAGGATTTTTTGGGATTTTATATAATGATTATATATAACATATACTCCCTTGTATACTAGCTTCCACTAAGCAAGTTTTTTTTTAAGGATTTTTGTAAAGCTTCCAGGAGATCGTTAAACATTTTTTGATTATTTCTACTTTATTTTCGTAAAATATTTAAAAGGTTTTAAGAAAACTAGTTGTTTTGTAGATTTTAATTTTTAAACTTTTGGCTTGATATAAAATTTTATAAGCTACATATTTTTAATAATTTTTAAATTAATAATGATTTTTAAAAGCATTAAATTCATAATACCTTAAAAAAATAGTCCTTAAAGAAATCATTCAAAATTTAATAATTTATTTTAAAAAAATCCCTATTTTTATTTAAACTTGAGGCCTGATAAAAATTTGTTTAAGCTATATTTTTAATTCTATTAAAATAAATTTAGATTTTAAAATGCATTTAATTCATAATATATCAAAAAATAGTCCTTAAAACACCTTGGAAATTAAATAATTTCACACATAGAAAAATAACATCATTTACCTTTTTTATTATTTAAAAAAAGTGCCTTATTTTTATTAAAAAAAAATTCAACTAAATTAAAAACAAATAAAATTAATAAAAAAAAATAATTATAATGAAACTCCAATAATAAATAATAACAATAATTAATCAACTTTATCCCGCGACACACATGTGGGGGAGTCAAGTATCGGAAGCTTTTCCCGTGTCATTTTCCACTCAATGGATAAACGCTTTCCGCTGGCTGGTTTGCCGCTTCTACGCTTGTCAGTCGCCCCAGCTTAGGAATCACTTGAATTATACAAATACACATAGATATATATAGTATATATATGTATATAGATATGTTTATATTTCATTGCCCCGCCGGCAGCTAAACGCTTGCCCTGCAGGCGGCCGGTTGTCCTGCGACAAATTAGGCAGCCAATGGCCCTTGCCCGCCGCCCGGTGTGAGTGTGTCCTGTGATGATGATGATGATGTCCTGCAAGAAAATGGCAAATAGCAGGACTACAACGGCGGCGGGGCCAATTTTTCACACTATACGGAAGTATTATTTGGGTCACATTTCCTGCTGCTTTTAATTAAAATCTTCTTCCCACTGGCGGATGTACAAATTTCTAGATGTTACAAAGCGCCAAAAATGGGGGGGGGGAGAACGGGGAATGGGAATAGTGGGGTCCTGGCTGGGACTGGCTTAGTGACTTGGTCAGAGCTAAGTCACAGCCGAAGGCGTTTGTCGACCCGACAACCCGAACTTTTTATCCCGACACCGATGGCCGAACCGACAAGGAGAGTCCACAAAAGTCGCACACAACCTATTGCCCTTCATAATGCCGCCGCCGCCGCCGCCACCGCCACCGCCACCGCCACCGCCACCGCCACCACCACCACCACCACCACCACCCCACAGGGTCGGGGGGCGGTAGGGATTTTTCGGTGGCGGCCAGATGATTTCAGCTGAGATTGAAGATAAAACACATGCGCTCATCACGTTTGCTGTTTGTGCCCTTTCTGTTTGTGCTCTTCGTGTCTTCGGTCGTCGTCGTCGTCGTTGTCTTCGGTGGCATTCCCCCGCCGTATACTTCTCCTGCTCCTAGCTCCCTTCAGAGCTGCGGCTGCTGCCGTTTCTCATCTTCACTCGCACACAAACACACACACACAGAGAGACACACACGCGTATACCGCAAGGACGAACACATACACCGAGGCGCGGACACAAAGCGCCGCACATGGCACTTGGCGCTGCGCCTTCGTTTCCCACTCAAAACAGTGAGAAAAAAACTGGGGTGATTTAGGTTTGGAAATGATTAAATTATTATAATTAAGTTACTAGTAAAATTACTAAATTATATTATTTTTGTTAATATTATTATAATTATAATTTCAATCAGAAGCTAGTTACGCATTGAAGGAGTCATTTCCAAATATATAAATCATATATATTCTTGATCAGCATTACGAGGAGTGTCTTTCTAGCCATTTTGGATAGAACAAAAATTGTAATCCATTTTTTTTTAATTTGATAAAGCGGATCGTAAAAATTGTTAAAACTTAGCAATAATTTTTAGTTTTTCAATTTTTGATTTTGCAGATTTACTTAACTATTAAAAACTAACTAATAATAAAGAATAAAAAATAAATAATTAATAAAAAAGAATTAATTAATAAAAAATAAATAATTAATAAAAAATAAATAATTAATTCCACTCGTTTGACACTATAATTCCCAACTAGTTCTAGCATCTTCTGAGTGGTAACCCAGCTGAATGTTGAGCTCGAGTGGTAGATGTAGTGCGGTGGTGTGTTCTTCTAGTAGTGTAATAATGTAGTAGTATTTCCTTTTTCTTAAAAGAATTGCTTGTTGTTGTGTTTCAGTGTACCCTCTCTGTTTAGTAGCTTAGTGCTACGAGAAAGATCAAGAAAAGGAGCAGATATCACCGGAAAGACTTTGAGATCAGCAAGAAATCAAGGATATGGATCAATCGGAGGAGGGACCTAGACAAATGTGAGTACACAAAAAATATATTTCTTTTAGCTTAAGATCTCGTATTCTTTACATTAAAGTTAGACATTTTTTTATTGGGTACCAAATAAATATCGATTCCAAATGCTTTAATTACAAACATCGAACTTCTTTTCTCGGGAAATGCTTCCTGTACAAGTTTTTTTATAAATTAATCATTTAATTTTATTATAATATTAGGAATCTCCTAACTGTATGAATATTTAAATCTACAATTTCCTTAAAAAACCTTCCCCTATTTTTGTCAGTGCAGCAATTCTGTTTCCATCTGTGTTGCGGCGGCTGCTGCTTCGCCTGTGGTTGTTGTTGTTGCTGCTGCTGCTGCAGTGGGGGTCTTCTGTTGGCTTTGTCCCCGCTGGGAAATGCGCATCGCCCGCGGCAGACAAATATTTTTTTTATCTTTATTCAATTCAATTCCACCAGCGACCACTTGAGCTTTTCTTTCTTTGCCGTCCTCGGATATGATTCTCTTATTGTCTTAATTGGAAATCCGGGCAAGTTTCATCTGGCAAATGGAACTGGGAGCTGGGAGGAAGGGAAGCCCTAATGTATGCAGGTGGCCAGGCAGGGATCTCAGGTGGATTTTGGGGAAAAAAGTTTGCAACTCCCACAAGGTCTGACATTTTAGCAGGTATTTTTTTTTTGGGAAACTATTTCGAACAGTCAATGCTGCTCGGGAGATAATTAAGATATTGATATTAATATTAAATATTATTAAAATGATTATCATTTAAAATTAAGAAATTTAGGCTTTTTAAATTGATTTTTTCGTTTTCAGTGATATTTTTCAATTTCTTATTTATTAATATGTTTAAAATAATTAAAAAGGAAACTTTAATAGTATTTATTTTAAAGAGTAATTTTTCTAACGAATTTCCTTTTAAAAATTTAAAGAAAAAAATTAATAATAATTTTCATAACGAATTTCCTTTCTAAAAAAATTTATTCTACAACTTGAGAAAATAATTAAGAATAATTTATTTAATAATAGTAATTTCCCTAACGAATTTTCCTATAAAAAAAAATTTTTATTTAAATTTTTGAAATTATTTATTTAAAATTTTAGAGAATATTCCCGAATTTCTGGTATTTACCGGATTTCCCAACGGGCGGGCCTTTGGGCCCACAGAGAACTGGGGTTTTCGGTTCGGTTCGACTCTCGGCTTTTGGTTCAGGTTCGTTTCATTTCGTTCGGTGTCCTTTCGTTTCGTTTCGTCTCGTTTCGTCCAGAGTCCTGATGCTGAGACTGCTGGGGCTTTCTTCAATGAACAAAGTGGGTGAGCAGGGGGACACGGGGGGTGGAGCAAGGAGCAAGGATGCGCGACGAGGTGAGGTGAGTGAAGATGAGGCGAGAGGCGACAGTGCTCGCTTTGGGCTTGGCTACAAATTTTTTTGTAACAGTCGCGCACATCCCAGCAGCGACACGCTGCCCCCGCAAGCCAGCTCTCCCACACACACGTACACACACACAGAGGCTGTGTTTGTGGGTTTTTGGGGGTTATGGGTCCCCTTTTAAGTTGTTATTTTAATATTTTAATATCTAAATAGGCTGCTATGTTCAATAAAACTCTAATATATAATAATATCGTTAATTCTTAAATATATTGAAAACAATAATTATAATACAAAAAAAAAAAGAAGGCAAGAAAGTCCAATCATTGTGTGTCACGTGATACACATCTGCAAATCGTTCCCGTGCTTATTTCTGTCCTTTTCATAGAGCAGACATTTCCAATACAATCATTACGTCTACGATCTGTCTCTCTCTCTGCTCTCTATGATGCCATCCAGGATCTCCGCTCTCTCTACTCCAGGAAACTTCCACTCCGCTCAAACATTTTAAGATGCTCTCACAAGCGCTCGCCTAAGAAAGCTCTAGTTACGTTCACTTTCCAATCTGCTCTCACAAGCGCTTGCCTAAGATAGATAGCTCTACTTACATACGTCCAGTCCTTTAGAACTTTCCAATCTGCTCTGACAAGCGTAAGCTTTAGTTACGTCTTTTTTCCAATCTGCTCTCACGAGCTGATGCTTGAGTTAGCTGTATTTACGTCCAGTCCTTTAGAACTTTCCAATCTGCTCTCACAAGCGCTCGCCTAAGATAGATAGCTCTACTTACGTCGAGTCCTTTAGAACTTTCCAATCTGCTCTGACAAGCTGATGCATGCGTTAGCTGTACTTAGTACGCATTTACTTCGGAGTGAAAACATACATCGCGCGTCGCGAAATCCACACCTGTTCTTATTATTATATTATTTAACGAATACAGTCGGAAGTTAAAGCCGCCTATATATTCGTGGTTATTAGAATGCTGCTTGTGGTGTTTTAATATATTTAATAAGCCCCTCTTGGAAGTTAATAAAATTCTGCTTACGCCCTTGGCCCACACACACACGCACGCATACACGCTAGAGAGGGGCAAAAGAGCTCGGCGCTGCCGAAGCTTGACGATGGCGGCGGCAACTGTTCGTTCGGGCTTTCGGGCAATCGGTATACCCTTCGGCTCGGCTGATAAGCTTCTGGCTCCTGGCGGCGCTGTGTCCTGGCTCTGGTCCTGGTCCTGCCCAGCGCTCGGTGGTGCTCAGTGCCAAACTGTCAATCGTGTAGTGCGGTCATGTGGTGCGGAGCCAGCGTGCGCCCGCCTCCCATCATCATCGCCCTCTGAGTGGTCTTCAGTCCGAGCCTCTCGAACCAGAACCAGAACCATAACCAAATCCAAACCAAAACCAAAACCAAGCCAAGCCGAAACCGAAACCAAGACCCCCAAGCCGAAGCTGAGAGCGAAAAGGGAGATGAGAATTTGCCATCATTTGATTTGATTTCTAACAAAAAAATACAACAAATATAACAAAAAATACAACAAAAAAATATATTACAAAAATATATTAAGGCAAAAAGTGTTCGAGTGCCAAGAGAGAGATTACGCGAAAACAACAACAACAAAAAAAAAAAAAAAAAGAAACCCAACCGGAACCCATCCAGCCAAGCTGAAAAAAAAGTATTAAATATATTACAAAAAAGAAATTAAATATATATTATATATATTTAGTATATTTAAAACGTGCCTCAGCCGAAAAAAAAAAATTAAATAAATAGAAATTACAAAGAGAGAGTTACAAAATGTTGGCCATTGGATTGCTTTTTGTTTTTGTGAGATTTTTTGTTCTTGTGCGGTTTGAACACGAGTGCGAACAGAACAACAACAACAACTAAACCAGCAATAATAATAACAACAACATCAACATTACCACCAGAAACAACAACAACAAACGGCAACAACAACAGCCTGAAGCTGAAATAACAACAACAACCATAGAACCATAAAAACAACAATGCTTGAAAGCTGCTGCAAAGGTAAGTGAAATTTAAATATAATTTAAAATATATAAATTTCTAAACCTAAGTTAAATTTGCTATATACATATATATCCATTTTTTGTTTGTGGCACTTCCTTAAAGTCTTTGGCTTTAGGTTAATCCAATTTGCGGCCCAAAGTCAAGGCTAGAGAGTGTCCTGTTTGGGCTGTCACATGTGTGTCCCCTTGTCGTCGTTCTGCCAATTAGTTGACAGATTACGCAAAACTAAGGGCCCCTGGCAGCAGCCTTTAATTGTTCCTTGAGTTTTCCCTTTATAGCATTTTCCTCCCCCCCCGAAAAGCTTTTCCAGCATTTTTATATTTATATAACCACGGCGGACCCCAAGAAGACGACTAAACCGACCAAAAACCTCCATATTCATCTCGGTTTCGACCCTAATGAAGTTGTGTGGCTGGAAAGAAAGAAAAAAAAATTACTCAATCGTTTTTGGTGTGTGCGTGTGCGTGTGTGTGTGTGGGAGTGTGTCTGTCTGCGTTGCCACCCCCGATTTAGGCCTTTTGCCATTGCCGCCTCTTGTCTGCGCCTTGTTATTTTTACAGCTCCTTGAGCCACTGACCAAATTTTCGTTATTTCTTCTTCTTATATATATATGTATTTTGTTGTTGTTGCTTTGCTTATTTTTCAGAGGATAAGGGGTCCTGGGTGGGTCCTCAAAACTCTATTAGCTTCATTATTAATAAAGTTTTCCCTTTTTTTTCGTTCGAGGCTGCCCTAATGATATTTTTCTCTTTTTGTACAAATTTTTGTATGGCAATTTTCAATGTCGACGAGCAGTTGTTCCCTTTTGGGGATGGGGGGAATCTCTGATGAGATGGGATGGCTCGAAAATTGAGTGATTATGGGTGTTGTGTCGGAATGTCCTGCTGCTGCTGCTGGCCTTTCAAACTCTGTGCGTATTTTTAGGACTTTAGTCTGGCTGCAAAAAGGGGTTTATATTTATAATATTAATGCGAGTCCTGCCAGCAGGAGGTTAAGTGTCGGCCGTAAAAATATATTTTATATAGTTCATAAAAACTAATTTTTGTTTACTCTTGTAAATATTATACATTTAAGGGGTGGTTTGTACTCTCCGAGTATAATTGGCAGCTATAAAATTCTGGAAATGGTCATTTGAAATTTTGTTGTTTGTTCCTGAAGGATTTTGGGATTTTGTAAGGTGAAAATTGGTTTATATTTTAATGATTTCTTTAATAAATGTATATATATTTTTTTATTTAATGATTTCTTTTTATTATTATTATTATTTTTTTTTTTATTAATATTTAGTAAATTGTTAGTCAATGCCATTATATTTTTATGGCTTTGTTTTATAAAGTAATTTTATAAAAAATTATAATTAATAATAATAATAATAATTTAATTAATTATAATTTTGTTTGTCAAATAATACTTGACTTAACCTTTGCTTAATAATTTTTAAGGGTCTAAAAGTTAAAAAACAGGTGTATACAAAATATTAAATATTTAACCAAACTTAACTAAATAATTATTAGCCTTTTGTCTGGGCTTCCAGTAATTTTTAAATATGTGTTTAATAAATAATATATAATAGAAAATATAATAATAATATACAATAAAATAATATTAAATATATTTAAATTTTT